TGTGGCAAGGCGGGCCATGAACGTAGCAAACAGGAACGCATTAGGAAGTGCCCTGCGTACAATCACACATGTGCGAAATGTGGCCTACTCCACCACCACGAGAGTGTGTGCCGCCAATCCCAGCGGAGACAGCAGCCAGCCACGCCCAAGGCACAGGAGTCACCTCACAATGCCACCGCAGTCTTCGAAACCCTGTGCTCTGTCGATGACGCCCCACCCATGGACGCGAATGCAATCACTCTAGAGCACCACATCTACAATCAGTTCTGCGACGCATGGGAGAGGCGAGGATCTGACCCCCAACCCATCGTGGACGTCTCTCTCAAAGCAACTCCTGAGGATGCTCGTGACCTCGGCCTCCCTACCCCCCTGCTCAGCACCACCTCCTCAGCCACCTATCCTGCTATGGCTGACACTGGCTGCCAGCCCTGCCTGGCTGGCACAAAACTCCTATCCAAACTGGGACTTGAAAGGAAACACCTCATCCCTGTCACAATGAAAATGAATGCTGCCAACAACTGCCACATCGACATAGCAGGTGCCCTGGTCCTCCGCATCTCTGGCACCTCCCAATCTGGAGAGACACTCGAGACCCGGCAGATAGTATACTTCACCGACTCATCCGACCGGCTGTTCTTGTCTAAGCAAGCCTGCGTCGCCCTGGGCATGATCTCTACCAGGTTCCCCACCATTGGCGAGGCAGTCAGGCCCGACAGTGCCAGCGTCGCATCCTCTGCCACCTCCCCGATGCCCACTCCAGCAGCCTGCCTCACGCCAACATGCGAGTGTCCAAGACGCCAGATGCCACCGTCTCCTCCAACAGCCCTCCCGTTCCCAGCCACTGAGGAGAACCGGGAGAAGCGTGAGACGTGGCTGCTGGAATACTACAAGTCGAGCACCTTCAATGTATGTGAGCACCAACTACTCCCCATGATGGCTGGCCCCCCACTGCGACTCATGGTGGACCCTGACGCTCGGCCCGTCGCCTGTCACACACCTATTCCTGTCCCCGTCTACTGGCAGGACAATGTAAAGGCAGGCCTTGACCGCGATGTCCGCCTCGGCGTCATTGAACCAGTCCCAGTCGGCACACCTGTCACATGGTGCCACAAGATGGTGATCTGCCCCAAAAAGTCAGGCCAGCCCAGACGGACGGTTGACCTCCAGTCACTCAATCGTCACGCTGTTCGTGAGACCCACCACACACAATCACCATTCCACCAAGCACGTGCAGTTCCTCCCCAGACTCGCAAAACTGTGTTCGATGCATGGAACGGGTATCACAGCATTGCCCTAGCTGAGGAGGACCGCCACCTCACCACATTCATCACACCTTGGGGCCGCTACCGATACTGTGTCGCCCCACAGGGAGACATTGCCTCCGGTGATGGCTACAGCCGCCGCTTTGATGAGATTGTGTCTGACATCCCGAAGAAGACCAAGTGCGTGGATGATACCCTGATATGGTCTGACTCCATCGAGGAGGCCTTCTTCCAGGCAGTTGAGTGGCTCGACACTTGTGGCAGACATGGTGTCACCTTGAACCCCAAAAAGTTTGCCTTCGCCCAGATGACTGTCAAGTTTGCTGGCTTTGAGATCACCCCGACCTCTGTACGCCCCTGCCCTGAGTATCTTGAGGCGATCCAGAATTTCCCAACGCCTCATAATATCACAGACGTGCGCAGCTGGTTCGGGCTTATCAACCAGGTCTCCTATGCCTTCGCCATGACTGACCGCATGCTGCCCTTCCGCAAACTCCTCAAACCTGGTACCCCTTTCTCGTGGACCGATGAGCTGGACTGCCTATTCGAGGAATCAAAGGCCCTCATCGTCAGCGAAATCCACAAAGGGGTGGAGATATTCGACAAGACCAAGCCGACCTGCCTTGCAACTGACTGGAGCAAAGATGGTCTGGGATTTTGGCTGCTCCAGAAGCACTGCGACTGCCCCTCCTCAAAACCCTTACTGCTGCAAGACTGGTTGGAGGGTGACTCTGGTCGGGAGCCGTTTCACTTCAGGTGCCGAGTCCCGCTACGCCCCAGTGGAGGGGGAGGCCCTTGCTGTCATCGATGCACTTGACAAGGCCCGCCACTTTGTCCTCGGCTGCTCTGACCTCATAGTGGCGGTGGATCACAAGCGCCTCCTGAAGGTGTTCGGTGACCGCTCACTCGAGGACATCCCAAACCCTCACCTCCGCAACCTCAAGGAGAAGTCACTGCGCTACCACTTCCGCATCATCCACATATCTGATGCACGCCACGCTGCAGCTGATGGGGTATCCCGCCACCCCGTTGGTAAGGGCACACTGCTACAGCTCCCTGATGATGTCGCACCTGTGCTCCATGACTCAAGCGAACCAACGACCACTGTGCTGCCAAATGACTTCCTTACTGCTATCCGCACCAGTGGCCCAGACCCTGTCCAAGTATGCAGTCAGTCTGCCACCACAGCTGCTAAGGTGATCAAATCAGTCACATGGAACGATATCCGCCTCGCCACATCCAGTGATCCCAACATGTGCAGACTGATTGAGATGATACAAGAGGGCTTCCCCACTCTCACCGGCGACCTCCCCCGTGAGCTCCGGCCATACCACCAATTCCGTGAGAACCTGTCAGAGTTTGATGGCGTATGCCTTTACAATGACCGTGTCATCATTCCCTCGTCCCTCCGTGCCCGGGTCCTTGAAGCACTACACTCGGCCCACCAGAGCGTCACCATGATGTGTGCACGAGCTCAGTCCTCATTCTTCTGGCCAGGTATGACCCCCGCCATCACCGACACCCGGGCACGCTGCTCTCCCTGCAACCGTATGGTGCCATCACAGCCAGGCGCACCGCCCACGCCTCCCGTCCAGCCCGATTATCCATTCCAATGCACTGCCGCTGACTACTTCACCTACCGCGGCTGTCACTACCTGGTGGTGGTAGATAGGTACAGCAACTGGCCAATCGTCGAACAGGCAGCCAACGGCGCCAATGGACTCATTACTGCATTGCGCCGCACCTTCGTGACCTATGGAATCAGCGATGAACTGTCCTCAGACGGTGGCCCAGAGTTCACCGCCGGGGCCACCTGCGCTTTCCTCCGCAACTGGGGCGTATGTCACCGCATCTCATCCGTCGCCTTCCCCCACAGCAACTGCTGTGCTGAAGTGGGCGTCAAGACTGTGAAGCGCCTCATCACTGACAATACTGATGCTGAAGGCACACTTAACACTGATGAATTCCAGCGTGCCATGCTCCAGTACCGCAACACGCTTGCAGGCCAACAACCAGTTACCGCAGGACACCTCAGCCACACCACCTGCGATGCTTCCAGCCGTCTCCCAGCCAACCCGCACCAACCATCCTCCAACCCCGGATGGCTTGGAACCGACTCCCACCTCACCTGTGACACCCACCGTGGCCACCACGCGTCCACCCAATAGCCGGTCCCACCCAGGCTCCGTTCCCCGTGCACTCCGCGGCCTCCTACCACACAATACTCCTGGTCTGAAGGAACACCTGGCCCCGACCGTGGATCTGCCACCCCTGGACCGCTCCTCGACTGCCCCTCGCAGCTCCACTCGCTTGTCATGACCGCCTGCCAGGCTTCGGGATGAACTATAGGACACCCATATACTCTGAACTTTTTTTTATATAGCCAAAGTCACAGCTACAGTTTACTTCCTATAACCTATGCTTATTCTTGTTTCGATCTTTGCTAATTGTTCATGTTCAGGCCTTTGCAATCTGTGCTTTTCTTTAGGTTACTTAGTTATGTCTGTTACATTTTTGGAATCTTTTCTTCCTAGAATTGTTAGCCTTTGTTATTCCCAAAGACTTGGGGGGCATATAGAACCATGATTCATAATATAATCTTTTCCTTTACTTTGCAGCCGCTGTTGTCATTGGTTGATGACTAATAAATACAACACGAACTATCAACTAAAGAGTTAGACTTATTGAGAAATGTTATGCGAAGTATTTTAAAGTCAATATGAATTATTGTACTGTCCAATAAATTAATTGCTAAATTAATTAAATTACTATTTTTTTTAAGAACAGGTAGTTTTTTAATTGCACAGTACATGTAATGTAATTTAAAGCATTTTAAAATAATGTAAATTTAAAAATAATGTAAATGATTAAAACGTCAAAATTTGAACAATTGAAGGGATCATAATGATTCTTTTTACGTTAACAAGGGTTACACATAGGACTTTATGATTTATTTTACATTAAAGAATATAATAAAATGCTTATTTGTTTTACAAGGCAAAAAACTTGAAGCAATCACCGCTAGTGTGCTTATGGAATGCTTGCCCGGTTCCCCGCCGTGCCCCACCACCCCTAAGAAACTTCTCTGATAGCTGCTAAATCTCAATGTTTTAATTGACGCTTATTGAATTCCCCTTTTTATTTATTTCTTTGTTTATTAATTTATTCCATTATTTGTTAGTTTATTTCTCCATGTACTCGTGTTTTGAACCTTTTTTTTTTCTTCATCAATGAAAATCCCGCCCGCAAGGTTCTCAAATCTCGATCGACTTTGTGCAAGTTGTAACGTGCGCACGCAAATTAAAATGGCGCAGTGTAATTTGCATGCTCCAGGAGTCCCACGCGCAGGTTTAAACTTGCGTGCGCAACTTTAAACTTGCGCAGGGGACTCAAATTGCGTTCGACAGGCCTATTTGTTAACAACATCATGAACATGGTTAAGATTGCGCAAAATTCATCAATTGTGCAAGTAATATTCCCACACAATCTCAAGAATGAGCGCTCATTCTTCAGATTGCGCGCTTATTCTTAAGAATGCACTCGTTTTTAAGAATGCGCGCTCATTCTTAAGATTGCGCAAATTATAAGAAAGCGCACAACATCAGGACACCTCGATTCCGCCATTCCACAATTCCGTGTTTTAGATTTTTTTGAAGTTTTTAGGCCTACTCAGTACTCTGTTTCTGACACGTCGTAAAGTCGTAGGCCTACCAAAAACACCTATTAGACAGTACTCACACAGTCACAGTCACAGTCACACCATGGTCACACTCCGGAACTAAGATCTTACAACATAATAAGCTCGAAATGACAATGAATGAAATTAGTTTAATGTTTTCAGCCGATTTACTTTGAACTGGTTCCCGCCTCAAAAATACCTTCGAAGTCGAATACCCGAATACGGGTCGAGGGACCCGACCCAGTCTATACAGTCAGGTGCCACAACTGCAAACGCGTGCAGTGGTTCAACTCCTATGACACGTAGACTCGGTACTAGTGCAACGTGTGCAAATGCATCATACGCCCATTTCGTCCATCGACGCGACGTACGTGACGGGGATTCGACGTGACCGACTAGCATGACTAGTGTCGTGTAACGCTTTCGACAGATTTTCGGGAAGTTGTATTGTTTCTTACATATCACGCATAAGCCGAAAACTGATTTTATTAGAAGAGACTCTAAAGGTTTCTAGGTGCAGTCAAGTATGGCTGACTCCAGTGTTAAAAATCCCCCACCGGAGAACTTCAAAGGATGGCTCTACAAGTGGACAAATTACATCAAGGGCTACCAGAGGCGTTGGTTTGTACTTTCAAATGGGCTTCTGTCTTATTATCGGTGAGCACATAGGCTAGTACTAGTACTAGTAGTAGGCCTAGTACTAGACCCGTGAACGTGGCTTGTAAACTAAGCCACGCTCTTGTACATGTTCGAACCAAGCGAAATCGTCCTTCCGTGACAAAGACTGAACATTGCCTTACAGTGCGATAAGTATTCACATATCAAGCTTTCTTGAACATGTTGAACATGTTGAAATCTGCTTTTATGCCAAATCTGGCATTTAAACGATATTCGAGGTAAGATCTCGACGTCCTGCAACCTCCTCCAATCATGCATGTGATTTACTAGTCCGAGTAACTTGGACCCAACTTATCGCCTTTTTTAACATTTGGGGATCGCCAGACCATGTCCAAATGTTAAAAAAGGCGATAAGTTGGGTCCAAGTTACTCGGACTAGTGATTTACCATGTGATAAATGCTGCAGATAATTTGGTATCGCACTGACGCTCCGGGCACTCCTGATGTCCGGATCATAAGTGCGATTCCAAATTGTTAGCTGCGTTTATTTGTCTCGTTATTGGCCAATCAGACGCCGCCTATCATATGCGCCACATGAAGCAGACGGGTAGCTCGGAGGGCTCCGAAAATTTTGCACGCAAATGACCGTGGGTACTCGTCCAGGGTCATTTGTCAGGGTCACTTGTCAGGTTAAAATCTAATTTCTACACGTTCGTATGGGTCTTCATTGATGGCAAATTTCGTCTAAATGACACATCCTGAACACCCGTACAGGCAAATTTAGATTTCTAGGTGAGTACTCAACATCCATACGAAATCATGTATGGCGGATCGATTTCGCTAGGTTCGTAAATACACAATAGCGTGGCGTTGTATACAACGCCACGTTCACAGGTCTAGCCTAGTACTGGTAGAAATGTTACGCCCCAACTATGGCATCGATCTCAACTATAGTTTGGACCGTCCAGACGTGTCCCAACTGTAGTGCAACAGTAGTCTGAGTAACTTGGACCCAACTTATCGCCTTTTTAACATTCGGACATGGTCTGGCGATAGTGGGTCCAATCTAATGGTTATATGCCGAGCAACACAATTCTGTCATTGAACCAAAAACCCAACATTGCCCAACAAAAACATCAGATTTCACCCTCAAAACGGCCTCCAAATCACTAGATACGCCACCTGACGTACAAGTAGACATCGATAATTAAGATGGTTGTACAAAAGTTTACTTACAATCCGGATGAAAAGTGAAATTTCCGTTCAATTCCGAGAGCTCCCCTCGCGATCGTGAACACGTCAAATTTCCGACTCTGTTAATGTTTAAACGTCGCGATGTGGTCTTCATGCCCAGCATACATTCGATGGTTCCCGTATCCCGAGTGCAATTCCGTTACCGAGCACGATGCATCAATTATGATAATGAGTAGACCGGATCTCGTTTGTAAACAAAAGTACATGTCGAGCGATGATAGGGAGTCGGGAACTAAGGCAGCTTTATGGGCGGAAACCAGTTCAAGCGAGTTCCTGACTCCCTTTTATCATTCGAAATGTACATGTGTTTATAAACGTGATCCGGTCTACTCATTATCATAATTGATGCATCGCGCTCGGTAACGGAATCGCACTCGGGATACGAAAATAAGAATCAACGGAATTGTAAATTCGGTGCACCGAAACTAGGAATCTCAATTTCATTATCTCATTAAAAACAAGATAATTTTCATCATTATTTATTATGTGAAGGCCACAAAAAATTTAATCTCGGGTGTTGAGGAATTTTTTCAGTAGATGGGCCAAGCAAAACTGCACCGAGACCGAGTGATCACATACATGTACATAGTGTAACAAACAGAGTCGGCCAACTCACTAGACCGCCATGATGGACTAGACTTGCTGCCAGTCTCTCTAGTCCACGTGTAAAAATTAAGAAAAAGATCAATGGCTCAAACGGGGTGATGAAATCAATTGTAGGCTAAGTCCAGAAAAAGATTTGTTAAAAATGTTGCAACCTGAAGCCGTTTCCGCGATTGTGTACAAAGTCTATTGAGAGTCAAGAAATTTTTTAAGTATTTCCTAAATAATGAAAGCTTTGCGGAAACACCATGTGCGAATACTTTCTCAACTAAGAGAATGGTTCTGAAAAGAACCAGAGGTATAAATTCGAAGCTCCGGTCAGTATGCTCTGACCGTCTTCAGGAGAGTGCTCAAACTCTAAGAAAGTAAATACATAAGTAGCAAAAGCGAAATCAATGAAGTGTGAAGTTGCATCGTGTGTGGATGCCAAGTAGCTGGGATCCTAGAGCAAGCTTGGTGCCCACTGAAGTGGAACAGTAGGGTTGCAGTCTCAGTAGAGGGAGGGTATAGGATACCCATCAGTCTAAGGTGGTGGCTGAGGACCTAGGGTATAGGATACCCATCAGTCTGGAGGAGTGGGAGTAAGATGTCGTTGAGGTGAAACCCGATGTCTTGCGGAACTGTGTTGTGTTTGCGGATCTCGATGGCTTCCCGTATGCGTCTTGGATGCCAGAAATGGATCGGTGCGATGAGTTCGGCCGCATCCCAATCAACCTTGTGGTCGTTGATGTGGGAATGTTTGACAATGGCCGATTTGTCAAAATCCCCTCGCCGTCCATGTGCTCTGTGTTCTTTGAGCCTAGTGGGAAGATTCTGACCGGTTTCGCCGATGTAGACTTTGCCGCATTCACTTGGAAGAGAAGTGGCCTAAAAGCTGTTATCCATACATAACTTACATGTTCATCTGCAAATAGGACCCCCTAGAATAAAGAAATGTATGACTGAAAATAGCGGCGCGCCCCTAACATATAGCGCCCCCCTCCCCTCCGCTTTTTGACTGCGCACCGACCTTTAATTTTCAAAGTTAGAGAACACTGAGTACCAGTATTTAACTGAATGAATTTGAAGCTTGTCAACAAAGATGTCTTGCAACACTGCACAAGGAAAGTTGGGGCAAGTGGAAGTGCGCCACGTTATAAATATAATGCCAGCGTGGCAACATGTTTTGACATCACACATTTACAAAATGGCCAATCGATGTGAATCTAAGGTCACGCAGTAGGTTTTTAACCCAGCAGAATGCATGAAAACAGTAAAAAGTAGTTGGTACCCGGTACTTTCTGTAATCAGGTAATGAGTAGAGAAAAGTCCACAAAATTGGGCCAAAGTGCATTCGTGATTGGCACGTAAAATGCTTTTTTTTATGGCATAACCCGAAAATATCATAAATTATGACAGTTAAATTAAATTTTTGTAACCTGTGTAGTTTCTATATGTACTTACATGACTTAAGTTACAAATTTACAAAGTTGGCCTTTGTGATGCAATCCGTTGTTTTTGTCCACGGGAAAAGGTACTTTGTGAAAAAGCCTACATGCAATGACATGTAGTAGAAAATCTGATTTTCTCATACATGTCTATTACAGTTGGTGCTATGCAAATGACATGGTTTTTGTGTTTACTGTGTGTTGGGGTTATCTTGATTTTCGTGTTGCGTTTCGTCGTTTCCACTGCACAAGTACAAGTAACAAACACAAGCTCCTTATCTACGGTACAGCGTACATTGTACCTGCCTGTTGGTTTCAATGTCGCCAACTACATGTAGTTTGGTAGGTCCAATGACCTACATACATACAAACAGTGGCCCTACGCTACAAATTGCCGACATTAGTACTTTAGCAGGGCACTAGAGATGTTGGGAAACAATATTCTAGGTAAGCTCAAATGCCGAAGCTGGTTTCTATTGAAGCTCAATCATGCAAGGTTTAAAAGTGAACAGAAAATACTGCAAAATAAAGCAAATACAGTACTTTTGCTTAGTAATAGTAACGCAATAGTATTGCTACATGTAAATAATGCAGTAGCATTGCTAAATAATGCAAGAGTATTGTGAAATAACGCAACAGTGTTGCTAAATAATGGGGGTGAAGTTTGTATGTACTTAAGTATTGTATTATTTTGCAAATTAGCTCCCAATACAAGTTTTTTGTTATTTTTCAATAAGAAATGCATTATTTCACAATACTTTATGTCCCTACATGTATTTGATAATATTGTTTTATCGAAATTGTCAACTTTGCAGAAACTTTTACTGTTCGCGCAGGATTCCCGGGAATTTATGAGATTTGTTGAATGATAGAGAACACAGCAAGTGTGTGCCCAATATCGTTACAGTTTTGAATTTCTGACTTAATTTTATGAGACTGAAATTGTTCAGCAAGAGCTAGGGCGAGGTATTATGTAATAGTACCAGTTTTTATAAACTAAATGAATTTGAAGATTGTCAAAAAAAGGTCTTGTTACACTGCACAAGGACAGTCGGGGAAAGTCAAGTGCGCCACCTTGTAAACTACATGTACATGTATACTTGGTATTGGGTCAATCTTTACACTTTAATCCCAAAACGTCACTTGAGCACCACAGTGAATAGCACATTTTGACATTTGACCTAGGTCAGCTGACCCACATCCAACCCACAGCAACTTTATAGGAATGACCATTCTAGCACTATTCCCTCCGACACACAGTGGCATGTTACTATCCAACATTTTGTGCTCAAATGGTTAATGAAACTCCGCCTATTACCTTAAGCTGCCCTCAGGTCCACCTTGCAATGACACAAATCAGTCAGCAACTAACTTTTCAGAATCAAGCTACATGTCGCCTGAGTTGCAACCCGTCGGGAACAAATTAGTTGGCGATTTTGTGCAACCTGAGTGTAACTGCAACTCAAACAAAATCAAGTCACAAAAGTAGAACAATTTGAACTTCTGTCAGGGGTTTCCCTTAACTTTTTCCTTTACTGGCCGGCCGGGCCAGTAAACCAGAGTTTTCACTGGCCCGCAACCTTTTTCACTAGCCCACATGTTTTAATAGTAACTTTCAATCAAATCACCATAAGCATTTTTGATAACATTTTTGATAATAAATTATGCAATATGAATACAATCGGCAATTATCTTAATCATGTACATAATATTGCATGTAGTTCCTTTTTAAGTGATGTCAATGTTTCTTTAATCGTCCATGCTTTAACATAGAGCAAGGCTTTAATTAACAGGAATCAAATAGGGGGAGAAGTTATAATCAAAATTTATGCAGTGTGCTTCGTTCCGAACTTAAGGCTTTAGGTGTTCTATTTCCGACATGTTTTGATAAAACACGAACTAAAAAAGCGTTATCTTGAGGAACAAGAAAACATTGCACACAGTCGTGGTATTAATGGGAGTTTACCAAGTTAGTAACTGAACTGTTTTAACTTGTTTGAAAATGAGTGAGAAGGCCAGTATTTTCAAAAAAACATCTCTCGCGCGCGCCATGCATTTCTAGCGAAGAATGGTGCAATCAGTGTGCCTAGCCAAGAAGCGCTGCGGGCGGGCGACCCACGAACTTACGCTGGTCACGTCAATCCATAACGTTTTCCGGAGCACGGTCCACTTTACATTCACTAGTCTTTACATTCAAAATAGGCCCCTCGAATCTCATATTGTCCTCATCTTTTCGGTACATTCGTTTGATAGTGTTCAAGAAATCATCCCAAGAATCCGTTCGGGCACAAGTTTTGGCAGTGAAACTGTCATGAAAGTTTTCTCCTCACCACGTTGTATGATACGAATACGATGTTAACGTACGTACGTCCGTACCGTGTGGACTGCAGATGAAGTAAATCACGTGCGCTGCATGTGTGCACAATGTGTAATGGCAAATACACGTTGATCCGCCTCATGTTCGTCGTTGGGATTTCAATGCACAGCGCACTGCGAATATACATGGAGTGATACAAATTCGAACTACCGATGTTTTTATTTCGGTCGGCGTGGCAAAAGTATTCATGTGTTGTATCACCCTTAACTTTTTATTTTGATTGTTTGAAAAATACTGTAGGGAAAACTTCGTTATTTTAATTTTTTTTTAACAGTTTTTTGACTCGCCCGTCGGACTACTGAGAGGAGGGTTTTGACTCGCCCGCCGCTGTTTTCACTCGCATTTGGCGAGCGGGCGACCGCTAAGGAAAACCCCTGTCTGTGATGTGTTCCCGATAGGCAGGAATCACTCGCAGTTGTGTAGTGTGCGGCAAAAACAGCTGAATGAACAGATGTGGCCGTGGAAGGTCATTTGATTGTAATCAACATGCTTTCGCTATATACAGAAGTCACATGACTGTCTTGTGCCATGGAATTGTCGTCGCGTCATGGGCATGGCTGTGATTAGTGTGTGTCGAGATGCCGCTTGCTCTACAAGAATCACACGATTTCTCAGTTTTGTGACCTGAGCATAACTTTTCTGCTTGATGCCAATGGTTACATCATGGCGCAAGCAAATCGCAAGTTGACCTGAGGGCAGCTTCAGAAGTCTCCCACCATTTTGCATGTTTTGAATCCCACTGATAAACCCAAAATTGTACTTGTAAGTTGTTCATATCTGGCCTCGGTTGTTTCTCAAATATCTTGGTAAGGACAGATCCTGTGCTAGTGTACATGTAGATTCACAGATAGCCTCATACATGTATGTGAGTACATGTACGTAAACTTAAATAAACTATGACTAACTTCTAGTCTATGACCTTGGAGGGCTCCCAACATTTTGCATGTTTAGGATATAAGGCACCTTATCTCAATATCAAGTCACAAAACAAATTGATGCAGAAAGCCTTTGTGTTGTGTTTTAAGTAAGACACAATCATAGTTTCACTTTTCACTTTGATTTGATTTTTCAGTAACCAAGCTGAAATGGCCCACACTTGCCGTGGCACTATTAATCTGTCTGGTGCCTACATCGACACAGAGGACTCTTGTAACTTTGTCATCTCCAGCGGCACGCAGACCTTTCATCTCAAAGCCAGCTCTGAGGTAGAAAGACAACGATGGGTAACATCACTGGAATTGGCCAAGGCTAGAGCCATACAAATGATGGAAGAAGATTCAGGTTAGAGGCTAGGCTGCTGAATTTGTACAATTCTGGTTCAGGCATTGAACTTTGTGTTTTTAAGGGCAAGGCTATTTGGTCTTGATGCTTTCATGACAACGTAGAGACCACAGGTGGCATACCGTATTTTAAGAGTCATCTAGAACACTATAACTAATGAGGCCAACTACATGTAAAGTAGAAGAACAAAAATAATTGTTACTGGAGTTATTTTCTTCAATTTGCAACTGATTCAACTTCTGCAGTCTTTTGTGCCCGGTAATCCACTAATATGTCAGCTTGTTGGTTGTGTGTAATGATTTGGCAGGGATGACTCATCTCGTCACTTTGGCTTTGTATCTCTATCTCTGGTAGGCCTACCTACCAGTAATGAGTAGAAAATGACAAATGTACAACACATACCGGGAGGCCTACAAGAAATGTTAATGATTAGTCAATCAATTGGGCAATGGGAATTGATCTCTGAGTGCATTCGTTTTTTAATGATTTTAAATGCAATTCACTACAGAATTGCATACATGTACCGGTATGACCATCCAAGTTACTATGATTTGATATTGTGGAAAAACATATAAAACGCTGATTTAAAATTCCAAGTTCCGTGTAAGGGTGTAAGGTCTATTTCAATGATAGGGTCGTCATTGAAACACGGATTTTAACGATAATGCAACTCCAAAATACGGGATTCGATCAGTGGTATTTTTTTTTTAAATCAAAATTCAGTTATAAGGCCAAATAAAAAAAAACATGGTTAGCGTCCCCGCCCGCTTCCTTTTTGGAGGCCCCCTCCTTTTTTCTCTTTTTCTTTTTTAAATCACAAAAAATGAGAAATTTTAAACAGTGACATCATTCTGGCCTCTTCGTCTGTTGCATTTAGCCCATATAAAACTGTTATGTCATTCCTGAGTCCCAGTGGTGGCCATTTTTTAAAAAGCTGGCGACCATCTTGAATAATACTTAATAGCCCGGATGGGCGGCCATTTTGGAAGGGGAAAAAAAGGGCCTCCTTCCTTTTTTTCAAAAAGGCAGGACGCTAAACATGTTTGTTTGTTTTTAATTTGGCCTTATTATTATGGAAACGGAGGATTTCAACAATATGTTATATTGAAAATATATTTTTGGGGGATGTTACGGCCATTATATGCTGTCGGTTTGCTGCCACTTGGTTCCGGAATCACTTGATTTGCTTGCACTGGGAACTGAACATTGTTTTGGTTTATGGGCAGTTTTTCTCTCCATCACTGATTACCATCTTATTCCATGAGCTTATACACAACGTTTGTGTTGTTGGCTGAACAGCTTTGTTTTTGTTATTAAAGATTATATTTTTGCTTATTCTTTTTTCTTTTTTTTCCTGTCATTTTGCTCATAGTATTTGGACACGTTTTTTTTGTCCTTGGCACTTTGGTCACTAAAATCACCCCCCCCCCCCCAAGCAAAAAATAAAATCTACATATACACTGATTACCATCTTATTCCATGAGCTTATACATAACATTTGTGTTGTTGGCTGAACAGCTTTGTTTTCGTTATTAAAGATTATATTTTTGCTTATTCTTTTTTCTTTTTTTTCTGTCATTTTGCTCATAGTATTTGGACACGTTTTTTTGTCCTTGGCACTTTGGTCACTAAAATCACCCCCCCCCCCCCCAAGCAAAAAATAAAATCTACATATACATGTATATTGAAAATGGCAGTGGTCTGTAACAACTTATTGAATTCTCTTTACAATTTTTGTATTTTCTCTTTCGCTTTACTGAACGTCCAAAAAATCCTGAATGCATGTATGATACAACATGTACAGATTTGAATGTATGCATGCTTGCAATTTGTTTAGAATGTTTCTTGATGCTTTCTAGATGATGAAGAAGAACTGCCGTCAGATGTAGACCGCACAGAGCTGCAGACAACCTTGCATATCCTGACCAGCAAACTAGAAGATCTGGGTATCTGCAATGACCTGATCTCTAAACATGGAACGGCACTCCAACGTGCCTTAAGTGACCTAGAGGTCATCCAAGATCCAACCGAGGCAATAAGCAAACTCAAAAGCATCAATGAACGAGCAACACTGTTCAGGATTACCTCCAATGCCATGATCAATGTGAGTTTCATACTTTTCATTTTGCTCAAGCAAAACATGTTCATAAACTGTGAAAAACTACAAAAAATCAAAATGCAGTACTTAGGTAAACTAATAAGTAAACTAGGTTAAATCATAATGTACAAGAGTTGTTACATGTATAAGAGTATTACCTCAGAAGTATGCACTGAGGGACAAACTACACTGTTTGATACACCTTTTCTTTGATATATTTGGCATTCTCAGATTATCAACTTTAAATACTTGTATAGATTGCTAGGTTTTACTCAAATATGATACAATGTGTTTAAACAGTTTTGGCTAAGAAAATTGTACTAAAAAAGTAAAAATTTAAGATGAGCAATTCCATGATAACTTCCGTTATTTGGATGAATACATAATTTGCTTTTGCTGTAATTTTCAGGAATGGATGGATTTGGGGTTAGTATGCTACATAAAATATTGTTTCACTGACTTTTTTTAAGCTTTGTATTCGTAGATCCTGGAAAAACCAAGAAAAACAATAAAGTCTTTCCTGACCCCACTTAAGATGAAACAATTTATTATTTATAGATATTGTGGAATCATAAGGTCAGGAAACCCATCTAGCTGGCTTGCACCTGTTCAATAGGTGTGTAATCAGTTGCAAACAAAATGCGGACTAACTAAATATTTGGGGGTAGTACATGTATTTTAAAAAAACACCTGGTTGGCCGAGCAGCATTGGAAATTCTTACAAAAATACCACGTTTCTTGAAAATGACAACCATGACAAAACACCAGGTGCCGTGATTTTACAGGATGCTTCAGGCTTTCATTCACAAACAATCCAGTAAGGTATTTCATGATAATTTGGTAGTTTTCTTTTTTATGTTTGCAAATATTGTGTATTCCCGGGCTATTATTTTATGAAGTCAAATCATTTAGAGTTCATTTTTTCCCACTTGAAGTTGAGTGTCTAAAAAAAAACATAGGCCAAAAAAAAATTAATTTCTGGTGGTTCGGCGCTAAGTTTTTGTGTTGACTGATGTTACAAAACAATAACATGTCAAAATTGTAAATCACTTTGATATGAAAGTTTGCTCAAATCAACTCCAATACCTACAAATGCATTCCCAATGGGCATGCGCACAAAATGTGCTGGTTGTATTAACAAAAGACCATTACGTCACCCTCAGTTATGCATGTCCTGGGGCAATTCCACGGTAACGGAAGGACGTTTTCACTCATAAAACACAATTTCAAATGTGTGTATCACAGACACTGTTCATAGTTACAGCAAACAAATGACACCATTGTATTGCTATAATGCTACCTTCAATTTCCACACTTTTGGGGGGCATGAATGCCTCCCGTTTATGAATTATGAATATTAATGAGGTCGGTAACGGAAGGACGGTAAAACGGACAAGGGTTTTCCAACTTACTCGCGTTTTGCGTAAACTCTGTGAATTTTATGGGGCAATTATATTTTAAAGGTAGGAAATGGAATCCCTGAAGCTTTATCTACAGTATACTATACCGCCTTTCATTTGACTTTAAGTGTTTCGGTAATATAATTACAACGTTTTAAGCAGATTATAATTTGGTAACGGAAGGACGGTAACGGAAGGACAAAAGGTTTACTCAATTATAGCATGAACAAAATGTGAATTTACACTAATTTGTTATAGTGAAATAAATTGCTGAAATGTGTAACTGAATGTGAAATCAACAATATGCAGACCTGGCATAAATAATTATACCCAAGAAACTATTGAGATAAAGATAGAAGCCTGCTAATTAATGATAACAAAAGAAAAACGAAAACAACCCAAAACACATAATTCACGAACACAAGACAACTACAGAAATGGACTTCAAACCCATCACCTCAATCCTTAAAAGTTGAAATACACAGTATTTGAACACTTGAGTATATTGGTTACATGTTCACCAACAACTTTTAATAATAATACCGTTAGGTTCAGTGGTTTACCTAAAGGGTGGGGGTGGGGGCAACCAGCCTACATGTACATTTAAGGTAAAAACATCTACCGGTAGAACTGATGGCTTCAGTGTTGCTTTTAATTGAACTCTAAAATCAATGTTTGAAATCAAATTACAATGATTTAGAGTAGTAACAATTAATTTATAAACATCCAAACTGAAATGTTAACTTGGGCATAATTTGTCAAAGATTGCACCTCACATGTCTTACACATGTAAATTGAATGAAAGTGCCCCAAAGTACCGGTACTTTCTGCCATCTCATTTTTGTCTTAATTTGCTTCTGGAATGGCTTCACAGAATTCGTATCTTTCTCTATTGTCCATGAATGCTGATGGCAGCAACTTTATGATTTGATTTTCTGCAACAACTCCATACATGTACAGTACTGGTACATGTACGGCATATATGTACATGTACATTGTACATGTTGTACATATGCCTGTGCCATCCTTTGTAATAAACACCTTGCCCTGCTTATCCCGCTTTTGTGAAGGTGGGTCACATGAATGTCCTTTCAATGCTCATTATACATGCATGTATTTGCAGTGATGTTCATTTTTCAAACATGAGCGCAAATGTCGTAACATTTGATAAAAATACGATTTGTCCTTCCGTTACCGTCCTTCCGTTAGCAATTTGGTAACGGAAGGACGTGATTTAATTAATTGTAATTAAAAAACGAGAAGTACAGCAGTGTCAGTTATAATGTCATATTGAAGGCCTACCTAAACTTGCTTTGCACAATAACTTTCAATGCATTCATACTGCAAGTTTGAAAAATAAATTAAAAATATGTATTTTTTCGGTAACGGAAGGATGTTTTCGAAGGCTGAAATATTAGAAGTCACTGAAGCGAAACAAATTACGCAAAATGTTAAAAACAAGTTTTAGTCGGTTTTTCAAGACCAATACTTTCTCATGACAGAAACTGATGGCATTAGTACATATTTTTGTGTGTGTATTGGTAGAATACTTTCATATCACTATTAATCAAATTTTTAGGATTAAAACAGGATTATTACATAATCCTATTTTTTGGTACCGAAATGTATAAAAAATAAAATTCCGACTTCAAATCTTGAAAATATAGACTTTTAGCTTTCATTTGATGCCAAATTTGTTCAAGTCACATGTATTTGAATTTTTTGGTGTCATGTCCACTTTGGTGTGGAATTGCCCCCTGTCAAACAACAAAGTACTCTTCCTTCTATTCCAGTGTGCTGTGCTTAGTGTGCATGCAATATGTTTAGCTACCAAAGTGATTGTATCAATGAGCCTGTAATTAAAACTGTATTTCCACAACGTGGATATAACCATATCCAAAGACATTCTGAAAAACCAGCTGTAGATGCTGTGGTGATCTCTCTGTCTCCTGCACTTTGATGTTCATTCTACCCATTATTCATGTCAAATCTGTTCTCAAGAAAAATCCTGCGTGATATGTTCCACCTGGTCAATGACACAGTGGAAGATTTGTCAATCATTGCAGGGCAAACATCAATATGGGGACCACTGATCAAATTCTATTCTTGTGCCAGCCTCAGTCATCAGAGATTTTATCAAATACCTTCTTGGTCTGCAACATTTGGTGAGGGTATTCAATGAAGCCTCAATTCCGCTGTTCATGTTTTCTGAATGACCCACAGCTGTATCAACCAGCTGGGTCAAGCCGAACTCAAGCCAGCCCTACATGTGTGCTTACTCTTGCAAAATCTGCCAATCGCAGAGTGTTTCAAATTGTTTGCCTTCCGGTCATGGAATTCAGTGTGGTCTTTGAAACCAAACTTTATCACTGCAGAGTGTGCCGACATGGTTGCGATTGATCAACTCGATGCGGTGTACCCACGCATAGCGCATGTGGTACAATTCCTTTGTACCCAATTACCGCAAGGGAGTTTGCGTTTGCAGAAATTCGGTGACCGAGTTCTTTGAGTCAAGACTTTGAAATTATTGAGACCTGCGAAAATCAGTCTTGAGACCAATCTCGATACCGAGACCTGCCTCAAGACCTACATCCCTGGTTTCTGACCAGGAATTTGCTGATTCTGGCAACTCCTCCATGGTTCAGAGGGGTAAGTTGGTTATTCCTGAAGTAAGTGCATGTAGCATTCTTTAGTTTCTTCTCCCTTTGCCAAAAGAAGTATCCTTTTCCTCTATCGCAGGAAATCTTCCAATACTCCTACAACGCCGAGAGAGAGAGGGAGAAGATGGATTAACTTTCACTCTCCAATTCTCACCCAACTAAAAATTTTGAGGAACTTGAGAATAGCTCAGCGCTTAAAGACCAAAGAGAGAACTGCCTTTCATCTCCCAACCATGCCAACCCTTATCTTCAGGCAAGAAGCGCTTCAGTAGCTACAGGAACTCCCAAAGTTCCTTTAGTCATTTATTATACTTTTCTAATACTCATCAGTGAAGTGTCTTTTTCACCACTTCTGCCAACTCGGCCTACCACTGTCAAATCAATTTTGCATCATCCTACTCCAGGACTGGTAGCAGGTCAACTTCTTCATTCTTCTCACTGGTAGTCTTGGCTTAATGCAGATCAGTGGGTTCTGCAGACTCTGTCTTCTGAGTATCGCCAATATTTCACCAGTTCTTATATTTCACCAAAGCGTTATCAAATGTTATCCAACTAACGAAGGACTTTAGTCTCATTTGAGGTGGTGGCGGTCTCAGTATATCCTGCCACATGGCTCAGTATTTCCATGACGACCTCCATCAGTATAACTCACGACTGATGCCTTGCTGTTGCTGTGGGAGAACATCTTGACAACCTTTCTCTTGTGGGAGCCTGGTCTGCGTCAGAACATCTCCTTCACATCAGTCATCTTAGGCTCTTCAGCCTCAGATCAGGTTCCTATACAGTCTCAGGCAATGAATAAACAGCGAGCAGCCCAGGTGCCAGATGAGGTTCTTCAGCCTCATGCAGCAGCCCATGTGCTATATGAGGGTCTTCAGTCTCAGGTAAAGTTATTGCATACTCTTTAAGCTTCAGTACAGGCACATCAAACCCATAGCATGTCAGCATCATGGGCTCTTTTGCAAGGTGTGTTGTCAAGATCATGGAGGCAACATGTTGGATAAGCACTTCAATGTTTACATTGTCCTACCTAAAGGACGTCTGCAAACAGGACGTATGGGCAGACAAGTCCTTCAAGTAACGGCAGTTTGGAGATTGTGTTCAGCTTTTGCTTTATCAAGTGTTCATGAGTCCAGCTCATGGGTATGGTACAAGTATGTTCGAACAGGATACATGTACCTAGAATTATTTGTTCCTATTTGTTCTAGGATTTCACACTTCTTTAGACACTGCACTGCATGTCCCTTCCCTCTCATCGATATTTTTACTGTGCTAGTACATACATGTACAACTGTATGCATTTGTAGGTATTGAAGGTAACATGTTTTCTGTTATAAAATTACACGGATTTTCTATTCTATGTTAAATATACTTATCTCAAATACAATCCCTCCCTTTCTAGTTTATTCTCTATACTTACAGGAAAATAAGGGCAGAGTATTTTGTCAATTACGCGGAATATGCAATGCAGTGGGTGACGTGCACAAATAGTCTTAACATAACCAGCCAATTTTTGTCCGCAAGCGCATTTGCAAATTTGTCGGTATCAGAGATGACTATTTTCTTAGAAGAGAAAATCCCTGCAGATTTGGGGAGAGTTTTTACCGGTGCTGTTGGCTACCATCACATTTGATTGAATGTTGTGATATGGAAATCGCTCACTGTTATGACTCAAGGACTGCCCTGTTTCAACATGTAAGCTTTCACATGCATGCTGCGCACTAAGCAGTACAAGATTATCATAACAATTGTAAACCAGAAGTACTTATAGATTCAGGGATAAGCATGTACTCCATATTCACATCGATTACGTTTCAATTAATCAATGGCATGTAATTAGCCAACTTACGTGTGTGAATATTGAATAGTACGCTATGTGTGCATATTATGACATGTAGATCCACACATGTATGTACAAAGTATGTATATTACGGGCTACCAGTAGGTGTGAAGTAAAGTGGAAGCTCTGTAGTCTCATTTCAAAGGTGATTAAGTGATACTTTGTGTAACATGTAATATATTTTGTGGACGGTATAACAAATGAATACAAGATGCATAAAGCCAACAAACAATGTTCATAATGGTAAAATTATGTAAACTAATGCATAACTGTGTGAATGTATGTATGCCTTTGCACATACCGGTTCATGCAGTGAAATGAGTCTGATTTTTTTTTATGATCTAATTGCAATAGCCATATGTTAAGTGCCTTTGAAAGAAAGCTTTTAATTGATTACCATCAGTTTCTGTCCATGCCTCTCACACTCTCTTGTAATATGTGTCTAGGCGTGTGGAGAGTACTTAGAGCTGGCACAAGCACAGGGACGCAAGTGGCAGAAGGCTCTGCAGTATGAGAGAGATCAGAGACTACGATTAGAGGATACCATTGAGACATTGGCCAAACAGCACAACTCACTTGAGCAAGCTTGCCGGGAGAAAGGGCGTCAGGACCACAAGAGTGTCAAAGGTTGGTTGCTTAAATGATGTGTGCCCCTCTGGGGCAGTGTCTAACATCTGTGATAGGTCTATCCACAAAGGGCAAAACAGTATTACTCAGAAAAAGATCAATAGTAATCTATCTACAAAGCCAACGTAACTCTCAAACTACTTATCTTCAAACAGTTACACACTATGTGAAGTACCAATAACTTGGTTATTCAGTTACTCTACATGGCTTCTGATTAAATGCATTGACTATAACCAAATACTTCAAAACTGAATATTTCAAGACTGAATAGTCAGTCTGGGAGGCCATTGTGCCTTTAGGCCCTGTTGATATCAGTTTTTTTTTTTTACTATCAATATCTCAACCACCGAATACTGATAAAAATGCCAACATATCAAATTCCATTTGAGACACACATTACGGTCTTGCCAGGCACACAGGCTTGTATAATAAGCTTTGCAAAAGAGGCATCTTTAAAAACTGTCAACAAGCTTTTGTTTGCACTTTCGTATAATTTGGTAGTTGAGTGTTCAGACATGGTTTTGATCCAATATATATGTAAATAATTTGTAATGTGCGGATCCAATTTGACATGTGCCATTCGCCAGCCTATACACCAGTGGGATATATGGGGTGCCAATCAGGATTTGCATGGGCTAGTCAAAGTGTTATTGAAATATTAAGGCATGCTGATGAGTGCCTTCCGGTACAAAATAGTCTGTTTGAGATACCATTTTTTGAGGTAGCTGACTTCCTGAAATTTGAAAGAATTTTATCCCCCTGGCAATTCAGCTAGAGAGGGGGATATTGCCATAGGGTACATATGGCTTTACAATAGAGGACAGACACACAAAGGGACAACAAAAGATCATTTCAGTCCTCGAGCGTTGGGTCTTTTGTTGAAAATGATCCTCGATCCTATGGTTGTGTGCTTTAATAGTCTATGAAAAAGTGCTATATAACAGGGACAAAGGGAAACAGAGCATTGTCCTCAGGTGTATAGAAATGTGTATGGGGGGGGGGTGAGTTTGTTCTGCATTCAATAGGGGACGTTGTACAATAGAGGACAATATGATCCACAATTCTCGAAGGTCCACAATCGACGATCGTATAAAAACATATGGGAGGGAAATCTTCCTAAAAAGTTAATGTACAAACAAAAGAGAGACAATGTGGGGTCCACGATTGCACATAAATCCACACTATTGTGTGTGGTGTCCTAAAATCTGCCATGTTGCATCTCACCTTAAAAATCTCACATCTCGCATCTCGCATCTCACCTTAAAAATCTCGCATCTCACCTTAAAAATCTCACATCTCGCATCTCGCATCTCACCTTAAAATTCTCGCATCTCACCTTAAAAATCTCGCATCTCGGATCTCGCGTCTCGCATCTCGCTTCAAATGTAATTTGGTATGTTCACTTTGATGGCGTGCGCGCTTCCAACATTTACACGCTATTTATAGACACAGTGTATTTCCTGTGTGTAATATGGACACTGACATACGTCTGGTTTTATGGAGCGCCAAAAGTGGACAACTGTATTTTCCCATTGTCTGTTAGTAGAATTAAAGGTGTTTAGAAATTGCAACACCGGTTTTTGAAAGACTCGGCGCCTAAAAAGTGGACAAGTAAAAATCTCCAAAAATTGGACAACCCCAACCTCCATTTCCTGCTTGCTGAAATTGAGATTTTAAAAGTCTTAACACCCGTTCCTGACGCCTCAAAAGTGGACACTTAAAAATCCTTAATTTCTGTTAGTAAATATTTGAGTTGAATTTATTTTAGAAACGACCATCTTGTATTCTCTGCCAGCCGAAATTTTGTCGTGAAACAAAAGTGAAGGAACTCAATTCAAATTGTCTCTAGATCTACTTGGGTGCATTTTTACAGCATTCCTCCGTTTGATTAAGAACAATCTGTGGGCTGTTCCCATCGTCACGTTTTTCATTTCATTTTATTAGGTGTTGGGCCTGAGCCCATTACCTATTGTTATTCTATGAATTTACTATTGTTAGGTGTTGGGCCTCAGCCCAACACCTATTGTTATTCTATGAATTTACTATTATTATTATTAGGTGTTGGGCTTAAGCCCAAAACCTATTGTTTTTGTAAAAGTTCACTATTTTTTTTTTTATTCTCCAAGACACAATTCTTCTCCGGAACTGTTTGTCAAAATGGAAACATATATGAACTTCATTTGTCAGAACATGAATGCACAACCCACTGTAGATGTGCTTTTTTGTGATTACGTAATTGTGACGTCATCATGGGTCACGTGACGTCACTTCCAAAAATAATAAATTTAATCTTTGAAATTCAATATAAAATCAACCGTGAGAGACCGGAACTTGAAATTTGCGGGAATTGACATGGCAATACATGATCTTCATTTTATCTCGTGCGCATAAAATCACGTGACCCTTCCTTCCGGTCCAAACCGGAAGTGCCTAATAATTTGAAAGTGGAAAAAGATATGAACTTGCTTTTAATGATTTTAGTGTCTGCCTGGAGTGACCTTTCAAAAAAAATAATGGGTGACGCCATGAAGTGTTGGAGCGCCCTCTAGCGGCAGGTTTAAAAACGTCAAAAACGCATTTTCACTTGATGTCTGTGGCGAAGTTTGCGGTAATCGCTTCAAAATTAATGTACACGATGACCACAGTGCAGACAACACCTGTGCGCGAAAAAAAAATGATAACGTCATCAGACCGGAAGTTACAATTAAAAGACCTTTAAACCTTAAAAAATTGCTAACAAATATACCGTGATAGATATAATCAAGGTTTGGCTATATATATAGCACAGTTAACATAGCTCTTGAACTTTCAGGTAATTACATGAATTACGTCACAATGACGTCATCAAGTATCATATTACAAGCAATCAAAGATTTCTAGATTTAATCTTTGAAAATCAATTTAGAATCAACTGCTACAGATTTGATTTTGTTTTTTATGGCAATTGATACAATATTGCAAGGTCTTCATTTTTGGTATTAAGTGCAAAATCAAGAACTGTTTGGAAAAATGGAAACATATATGAACTTCATTTGTCAATACCTAAATGCCCAATCCACTGCAGATGTATTTTTTTGTAATTACGTCATCATGATGTCATCATAGGTCACGTAACGTCACTTCAAAATATAATAAATGTAATCTTTGGAATTCAATATAAAATCAACCGTAAGAGACCGGAACTTGAATTTTGCGGGAATCGACATGATAATACATGCTCTTCCTTTTATCCTGTGCGCGTCAAATCACATGACCCTTTCTTCCGGTTGAAACCGGAAGTGCCTAATAATTTGAAAGTGGAAAAAGATATGAACTTGCTTTCAATGATGTTGGTGTCTGCCTGGATTGACCTTTCAAAAAAAAATAATGGGTGACGCCATGAAGAGTTGGAGCGCCCTCTAGCGACAGGTTAAAAAACGTCAAAAACGCATTTTCACTTGATGTCTGTGGCAAAGTTTGCGGTATTCGCTTCAAAATTAATGTACATGATGACCTTAATGCAGACAAGACCTATGCGCGAAAAAAATTGATTACATCATCAGATCGGAAGTTACAATAGAAAGACCTTTAAACCTTCAAAAATTGCTAAAAAATCAACCGTGATAGATATAATCAAGATTTGGCTATATATAGCACAGTTGAAATAGCTCTTGAACTTTCTGGTAATAACGTCACAATGACATCATCAAGTATCATATTACAAGCAATCAAAGATTTCTAGATTTCATCTTTGAAAATCAATTTAAAATCAACTGCTACAGATTTGATTTTGTTTTTTATGGCAATCGATACAATATTGCAAGGTCTTCATTTTTGGTATTAAGTGCAAAATCACGTGACCCTTCCTTCCGTTCAAAACCGGAAGTGCCTTATTATTTTTAATTGGCAGAAGATGCGAACTTGCTTTCAACGATGTGAGTGTCTGCCTAGGCAGTACTGTACAAACATTTTACAGGTGACGTCATCAAATGTTAGAGCGCCCTCTGGCGGCATGTTGAAAAAGTCAAACATGGATTTAAACATGCATTTTGAGTTGATGTGTGTGGCAAAACTTGCGGTAATCCATGGCCCAACACCGTGTGGTTGTTCCTACAACCTCTAGTTGTTGTTATTATTCTCCTCAGCACATTCTTCTCCGGAACTGTTTGTCAACATGGAAAGTGATATAAACTTCAATTGTCAATACATGAATGCACAACCCACTGAAGATTACGTCATCATGACGTCATCATGGGTCACGTGACGTCACTTCAAAATATAATAAATTTAATCTTTCAAATTCAATATAAAATCAACCGTCAGAGACCGCAACTTGAGTTTTGCGGGAATCGACATGATTAGACATGACCTTCAATTTATCTTGTGCGTGTCAAATCACGTGACCCTTCCTTCCGGTCGAAACCGGAAGTGCCTAATAATTTGAAAGTGGAAAAAGATATGAACTTGCTTTCAACGATTTTAGTCTGTGGGTGGGTTGACCTTTCCAAAAAAATGATCAATGACGCCATGAAGTGTTCGAGCGCCCTCTAGCGGCAGGTTAAAAAATGTCCACAATGCATTTTCAGTTGATGTCTGTGGTGAAACTTGCGGTAATGATCACCTTAATGCAGATAAGACCTTGTGCGCATAAAAAAAATTGATTACGTCATCAGACCGGATGTTACAATGAAAAGACCTCTTTTCCTTTGAAAATTGCTAAAAAATCAACCGTCAGAGATATAATCAAGTTTTGTGCTTTAAATGGCACTTTAATAATAGGTCTAAAACTTTTCAAGGTTTTGTTACAATATGTTAACTAGAAGATGCCCTGCAGCTCCCTTGAAATTTGAAGTTGAACATGCCGACGCCTTAAAACGCTCATTTAATGCCACGTACATTGTGTGTACAGCAAAGGGCGATGATTGCGTACAAAAGGGAATTCCCCGTGCTTGCTTCTTGAGTGTCTGGTTTTACGACTGTTGTATGTTAACTATTGAGCTACATGTCAAGGCTGTTTGATGGACCAATGTATTTAAAGTGTTTACCAGTGTTTTGTACACGTTTATATGACAACTTTTTAAAAGCAAGCACATTTTTGACTTCTGATGACGTCATATGATACTCAAAAATTGGGCTAGCAAAAGCGCCCTATTGGGTGCTTTCTTTTAAATTGGGCGCTTTTTTTCTAAAAACATGCGCATTAGGGTAAAGAGGGTATGGCGAGCAATATTTTGTATTGCGCCAATGGTGTGCGACCTTTACTTTTAGAGATATGAGCTATTTAATGGGTTTTGTATCGATTGTACTTGATAGGTTTACAGTACAGCAGCATACGCGCGTGCAGATCGTCACCTGACTCTTTTTAACTATCCTCTGTACACACGCTATTTTTCAACCCTCAACCCTCAACATCTACATCAACAATCAACAATCAATATTAACATCAACAATCAACAATCAACGTCAACGTCAACAATCAACATCAACATCAAGAATGGCCCAACACCGTGTGGTTGTTCCTACAACCTCTAGTTTCATTTGTTTCCTATATTATTTCTCAGGCAAGAACACATGCAGACACAAAATACAATACAATCATTTTGACACTAAAAAATATTGATAACACACCCGATTGACATTAGCATGTATACAATACCCAGTCCCATTGCTTTTAGCAAAAAAAAAAAATAACACCAAAATTATTGGTTAAAAAAAGGAGACGGCCTCCAGGAAGGAAGCGGGCGGGGACGCTAAACATTTTGTTAAATTTGGCGTAAGCAGTGTTTCAATAAACCAAAATACTAATAATGATAATCTTTGCGAGTTTCCGGCTCAGATTCCGCTCACGCCTCCCACCCACACCTGCTACGGGCATTTCTATTGGGTTACCCATCTACCGGTAAACTGTACGTCGTTGCGTCTCAATATTTCCTCCTGATTGGCAGTTTCCTGAAATATTGTGAACAACGTTACGAGAAAATTTGCTTGAGCGACTTTTAAACGTGTAGTCTCTTGATCCCATGAAAGAAACAATGTGCACTTGAAAATTTTCCCCTTTTGGGGTTAAATGTTTGAAATTGAGCCTTTTTGATAGCTACGGTAGCAGAAAATTGAGGGTTTTTTTTAAACCCTTGTTGCAATTTCTAAACACCTAAAATTCCAATAACAGAGAATAGGAAAATATTGTTGTCTACTTTTGGCGCTCCATAAAACCAGACGTAGGCCAGTGTCCGTATTGCACACAGGAAATGCACTGTGTCTATAAATAGCGTGTTAATGTTGGAAACGCGCATGCCATCAAAGTAAACATATCAAATTACATTTGACGTGAGATGCGTGATGCAAGATGGCAGGTTTGGGACACCATAATTGTGTGTGTGTGTGTGTGCCCTGGCCGACACTGCATTATGGGGAACGTTTTTATTAGAGTAATTACATGTAGGACCAAGTTATGGGGACTCTCTGCTGTCCCCACAGCATATTTCGGTCCCAACGGACACCTCGCACAGATGAGTGTATGTCCCACAACGACGGAACAAGGCTGTGTCCATGTGTTCCACTTTGGTTAGGTTAACTGTTTAGTGATGTCATATGAAAAGTCAGACTTGAATCTCAACCAAAATTGGTGACAATAATCTTTGGGTCGGGGGACTTCAGATGACCTGAGACTTTTCAAGTCAAAGGTCATCTAGGGGTCAAATGAGGTCATTCTGTATTTTGTAAACTGAAAAGTGTGCTTACTAACTGACTGTATTAATACTGCCAGCATGTCAGTGGGATTGCAATACTTGCAGTACAATTGTATTTTTTTTCCTTTTCTTGTTCAGACTCTTCTTCATAGGATTTGTACACGTTTTTACCCCAATCTTGCACTTTGGCGCTTTCATAAGTCCGATCAACTCCAAACTTGGCACGCACAAATACAGACCACCAACCGAAGATGGTCTGTAAAGGTTTAGGTCACAAAGATGTCATCCTGTGTCTGTGAAGTCCTGTGTCACATTAAATGTACATTTTTCGAGGCCCTATTTCTATGGAAGTACAAGTCTGATTGGGTTGAAATTTCGTATGTACATAAACAGGGTGCAGTCGGGTCAAAAGCTACGTAGACAGGGATGTGTTATAGGTGAAAATTTAAATCATGCTCTGATGACGTCATCACATGTCATATGACTTCACTTTAAGGTGTATAATTTGAAGCCATACATCTCCAAAACTTTCTATGTACATGTACATAGACAAGGAAATGTTAAAAGTAAAAATTGAAGTGACTTCATGACGACATCATCACATGTCATGTGATGTCACATTAAAAGTGCAGAATTCGAAGCCTTGTATCTCCTGAACTGCAGGTCTAATTGAAGTGAAACTTAGTATACAATGTACTAAAACGGGGTCTGTTCATGGTGATGTCTTCATGTCATCAAGTGTTGAGTCAGGCCATAAAAATGGGTTGGTTGGGTAGCCGGAAGCAGAAGTAATTTCTTTTGCTTACTGCTTCAATGATTGATGATTGAGCCAGCTGTATCTACCAGTTACCTGAAGTTGTTCTGTTGATGGAATTTGACTAGTCACAGTGCTTAACAGAATTATTATTGGACGGTTTGTGTTAGCCTGTAATATAAAGGCCAGGCAGGGGTAAAGGGTTTTATATATGTGTGCCTAAAAATAAGCTCTAGAAACTCAAGATGGAGAGAACAGTTCAGCAACTATTGTAATATTTTCCTTCACAGGAACAGATGCAGATGATGATGATGAAGACAATGAATTTTATGATGCCACAGAAGATTTTACATCTGTTCAACTCATTTCAAATGTGAAAGGTCACAAGTGAGTATCTAGGGCCAGGCCTCGTCTGAAATGGACTTCTAGACCTTTGCCTCCATCTGTTGTCAGCATGTGCCCACGCAATTCATGACAACCTTAAACAAGCCATTTATTCATCTGTCATGTGTGCTGGCTGAAACCAAGTTTTGAAATCCTATATTTCAGCTCAGAGCAGGCTTGTATTTGCTTCATTTAGTGCTTTCTCGTTTATGATTTTAAATGAAATATAACATATGAATATACATTATACGAATATACTATTGTCTTGATATGGGCATCCTTTGTATTTTTGTGGTTCTCATATCCAACGACCCTCTATTGACTCCCAACCCAAGAGAAAAAAAATGAAGCCTCATTAACAAAAAAAATTACAAATTGAAAATAAATTAACACAAAAAATTAACCCAAAAATATTGATAAAAAAAATGCCAACCTCATTAACCAAACAAAATTTAACAAACTGAACAAAACCCAGAGGTCTATGTCTGTTTGAAACAGAACATACATGTATGGCTTTTCCGCCTTATGATTTTGTATGACTTTCTGCTTTTGAGTTTGTATAAATTTACATATAAATTATGTAAAAAAAAAAATTAAATTAAAAAATTTAATATAGTCATGAGGTTCAAAGTGCATTTTACGTCATAGTTGGCTAAATTTTGAATTTAGTATTGAATTTTCAATATGTGACGTTCCTTGTTGCCGGTACCTTGAATTCGCTTCGTCGATAGACTGAATGGAATGCAATGCAAAATGTTTATTCTTGAAATGAGACTTATCATCTGAGCACATACTGATTTGAACAAACATGGTTGTGCAAAGTTTCAATAACATTGCAGTTACTATTTTGTGAAACAAAAACACTTTGTGCGAGACAATTTATGCAAACTACGGCATGTATCAATCATTGGGATGCCAGAAGATACCAGGTTGTTGCCTCTCAACATAGTATGTGTCTATGGTACACCCTTATTGGTATTATGGCTTCCACTACAGCCATGGTGAATAAGTCAAATACTCACCAAATATAGTTTTGTTATTTTTTTAGTTATAAACTCAAAATTTAACGCATTGCAATTTACAAAACTAGAGACCATACACACTTTGCATCATTTCATTTAGCCATCAATACGGGTGCAACAGTTTGACCCTTCAGATTTTTAGAATTTTTAACCGACTGACCTTACATCAAAGGCAAAAAAAAAGAGAGAGAACCATAGAAATAAAAAGGGACACGTGGTGTGTGTAAAAAAGTGGTTTACATGTATCTATAGAAAGTAAGGGGATTCTGGACCAGATGCATGAAGAGACTCGCAGTGAATAGCCACTAAGTAATTGGTTGAATAGAATTGTGTGCACTCTGGGGCAATTCCACACCAAAGTGGACATGACACCAAAAAATTCAAATACATGTGACTTAAACAAATTTGGCATCAAATGAAAGCTAAAAGTCTATATTTTCAAGATTTGAAGTCGGAATTTTATTTTTTATACATTTCGGTACCAAAAAATAGGATTATGTGATAATCCTGTTTTAAGCCTAAAAATGTGATTAATAGTGATATGAAAGTATTCTACCAATAGACACACAAAAATATGTACTAATGCCATCAGTTTCTGTCATGAGAATGTATTGGTCTTGAAAAACCGACTAAAACTTGTTTTTAGCATTTTGCGTAATTTGTTTCGCTTCAGTGACTTCTAATATTTCAGCCTTCGAAAATGTCCTTCCGTTACCGAAAAAATACATATTTTTAATTTATTTTTAAAACTTGCAGTATGAATGCATTGAAAGTTATTGTGCAAAGCAAGTTTAGGTAGGCCTTCAATATGACATTATAACTGACATTGCTGTACTTCTCGTTTTTTAATTACAATTAATTAAATCACGTCCTTCCGTTACCAAATTGGTAACGGAAGGACGGTAACGGAAGGACAAATCGTATTTTTATCAAATGTTACGACATTTGCGCTCATGTTTGAAAAATGAAAATCACTGCAAATACATGCATGTATAATGAGCATTGAAAGGACATTCATGTGACCCACCTTCACAAAAGCGGGATAAGCAGGGCAAGGTGTTTATTACAAAGGAAGGCACAGGCATGTACAACATGTACAATGTACATGTACATATATGCCGATGTACCAGTACTTGTACATGTATGGAGTTGTTGCAGAAAATCAAATCATAAAGTTGCTGCCATCAGCATTCATGGACAATAGAGAAAGATACGAATTCTGTGAAGCCATTCCAGAAGCAAATTAAGTCAAAAATGAGATGGCAGAAAGTACCGGTACTTTGGGGCACTTTCATTCAATTTACATGTGTAAGACATGTGAGGTGCAATCTTTGACAAATTATGCCCAAGTTAACAATTTCAGTTTGGATGTTTAAAAATTAATTGTTACTACTCTAAATCATTGTAATTTGATTTCAAACATTGATTTTAGAGTTCAATTAAAAGAAACACCTAACTGAAGCCATCAGTTCTACCGGTAGATGTTTTTACCTTAAATGTACATGTAGGCTGGTCGCCCCCCCCCCCCCACCCTTTAGGTAAACCTTTGAACCTACTGGTATTATTATTAAAAGTTGTTGGTGAACATGTAACCAATATACTCAAGAGTTCAAATACTGTGTATTTCAACTTTTAAGGATTGAGGTGATGGGTTTGAAGTCTATTTCTGTAGTAGTCCTGTGTTCGTGAATTATGTGTTTTGGGTTGTTTTCGTTTTTCTTTTGTTATCATTAATTAGCAGGCTTTTATCTTTATCTCAATAGTTTCTTGGGTATAATTATTTATGCCAGGTCTGCATATTGTTGATTTCACATTCAGTTACACATTTCAGCAATTTGTTTCACTTGTATAATTAGTGTAAATTCACATTTTGTTCATGCTATAATTGAGTAAACCTTTTGTCCTTCCGTTACCGTCCTTCCGTTACCAAATTATAATCTGCTTAAAACGTTGTAATTATATTACCGAAACACTTAAAGTCAAATGAAAGGCGGTATAGTATAGATAAAGCTTCAGGGATTCCATTTCCTACCTTTAAAATATAATTGCCCCATAAAATTCACAGAGTTTACGCAAAACGCGAGTAAGTTGGAAAACCCTTGTCCGTTTTACCGTCCTTCCGTTACCGACCTCATTAATATTCATAATTCATAAACGGGAGGCATTCATGCCCCCCAAAAGTGTGGAAAATGAAAGTAGCATTATAGCAATACAATTGTGACATTTGTTTACTGTAACTATGAACAGTGTCTGTGAAACACACATTTGAAATTTTGTTTAATGAGTGAAAACGTCCTTCCGTTACCGTGGAATTGCCCTCTGACTAACACTGGTGTGGGACCAGCTTGACTAGACTTGCCTAGTCTGCTTTGTGATTTGTACAGTTGCATCATTTCCAGAAATGCTTGACATGCAATTTCTTTGTTTTTTAATAGTTTAAAATGAATAAAATTTAAATGGGAATATTTTAGTCAAGGAAAGTGCATTATCAAACAGTTATTATGAAGGGGGAAGCTACTTTAACTATATTTAAAGAATATATTTTGACCAAATGTCAAAATTCATCTTTGTTTGACAGTAAAAAATTTCAGACTATGGGTTCCCTGAGAAGACAGAGCACTGTACCTTGGTGATGGGCTCAATCTGTCTTCTCTTCGTTCTTTGTTGTGTTATGTATATTTTTTTCTTGACCATAATTCTCTATGCTTTTCTTCCAAACTAAACGACACATAAATGTCCAACTTGGTATGAACATCAGCCCTGATGCAGAGATGTGCATGCAAGTGGGACATCATGATTCTGTATCAAAGTACATTTTTCATTTCATTTCATTTGGTTTTTATTCCAACTTGGAACACACCTCTTAGCCCCTGGGAGGGTTACATCATTTTCTTGTGTACTGGGCAAATGAAGCCATCAAGCTGGTACCTTTTCAGAACTCCAAATAAAATTAAACAATTTCGTAATCGGATTACATAAATAAAAAGTTGCATTACAAGTGATTTTAGTTCAAAAAGGGATCAATTTGTTTCAATCAAAATTCATTTACAAAATGAGCGATTGTGTGCACACTTTGTTTGTGATCTGATAGACCATGCCTTTATGAAAAATGTTTTTGTTGGAGGGGTAAAGTCGCTTGACCTATACTAACTGAAGGTCACAGTTAGGTGAATTCAAAATACCGAAGGAAGCATCCACGTTAAAAGAACATAATTTCTTCCAAACGGATCAAGGATGAAGATGAACCCTTGTGCACTTATGAATCCTTGTCCAAAGATGGGGAAAACATGGTGATGTTATCGTGATGTCACAACATATCTAATAACAAGTGATTTAATGTCCAAAACCTGACAAAATACTTTGAGAGATAACTCCTGAGCTGTACAGTGTATATTTTTTTGTGAGATGGTAGATATTTTTTGGGGCGACACTTTTTATTCCTGGGCACAAAACCGCTTGACCTTTACTTACTGGGTTACCAGAAGTGCAACAACAAATTAATGTCACTTGAAAATGGAAGTGTTTGGCTACAATAATGCAAAATCAGGCAAATTTTCAGTGTAATTTCAAACACAAAAAAGTCCTGATGGTGTCATAACTTAAAATAGAGCCTCTGTCACCACAACAAAAGTTTAATTTTATACATTTAAAAATCATCTGAAGAAATTTGACCAAATTGCACATGAACACTCTTTGCACAATACTGAAGTATTTTGCAAAGTTTCAGAATATTGATCAGTTTTTGCTTCTTTATAAAAATTGTATATATATCCTTCATTCCAGACGCATTGGCGACCATTGTAGCCTAAATATTAAATTATAAATAAAAGTACTTAGCGAAAGTTGATAATAAGCAGGACAAGTTCTTTTCAGAACTAAATATCACTGAGCAGTACTTATTACCACATGGTGTTACTGCAAACCAAAACAATAACCTAAATATTGATATCAGTTACATTTTTGGTTATACAAAAACATGTAGGCATGCTAATGCTCGTACATCATCAAGCTGGCGATAAGGTGCAATTCCTACAACATGTCGTGTTTGTAATATTCTTATATTATATTTTTTGAAGTTCTTTTCACTTATGTTAACCTGCCAATTAATCAAATGATTTGTTGGTGATAGGTATCCAAATGCTGTGATGTCATCAAACTGGAGGTTCAATTTTAATCAATACACACAAATAAACGTTTGTGCAATTGAAAGTAAAAATATTTTCCTTCCTCTGTTTTTGTCAAATGATAAAATGGCTTAAACTGATCCATTAATAGAAGATTCATCATTCCTGCAATTTTTACATTGACATTCATAACTGAACTGAAAAAGTCAACGCAATACTAGTGTTACGTCCCATCACCCAACGTTGTCACAAAAACAAATGCAATACGTCCAGTTAGGAGTTGAGTGTTTACAATAGCAAGAAAACTTCACAAGGTAAACAAAGTCACAGGACTGCAATCACCACAAATCTATTGGAGCCAAATGTATCATGGTCTAAGCCTTTCTTTTTTCATCCATGTTCAGTAAGAGGGAATTTTCAATTTTATGTTATGTTTTCAAATTATCAGAGCTGAAAGATATAGTCCATCATTTGTAATTTGTGCATTTTGTTCGTTTGAACCAACAAAAGTGCTCAAAATCTAATGAAGGATACTGAACAACTAACCTAATGAAATTTCAGCTCAGCTTCAGCTGTAAATTCAGAGAACAACAGCATTCTAGGATCTCAATTTCAAATCAAAAGTTGCTGAATCATGTTTTGAATTGTTTTGAATTGCAGCTATACGCGATGTCGCGCACTGATCCGACGAATTATAGCAACCGCGCGCGCCTGTGCGTCGTGCCAATGCCTGCACGCGCTGCACCGAATGACAAAACGAACTACTAATTTAAATATTCCTACAGATGCACTGGAAAGGCCTTCTTTCGTTGATAACTTCAAAATGATAGCTTGCCAGAAAGATTAATTTCACAGGGAGTTTAGTCCACAAACTATCTTTCAACCAAGTATGTTTTTCAACAATAATACGCCAGTTACTTTTTTGGATGGCTGCAAATGATGGACTATAGCTTTAAGTCACAAGATTGCTTGGTTTAATATTTCATGATTGCAGTCATGTTTGCAATGTTTTGCTTTTGCAGCCGGACTGGTAGTGACATAAGTGGTAACAGTATAGCTAGCAGTGAAGGAGAGAGTAGGCCAGGGGAACCATTAAGCACTGATGATCTCATGATGCAAGACAAACACAGCCATAAAGATGTAAGTGTTAATTAATATCACTGAATGTGTGGTATACACAATTGTCACGTTTTAATTGATTTCAGTTGTTTTTAGGATTTTGTTGCATATCTGATGAAACAACAAATTGGTCTTGAGTTTTCAACAGTGTTATTGATAAGGATGTGTTGATATTCAAGGAATCACAAAATTAGAGGGTTTAACATTTTGATCCTAGCACAATCTTTGCCCTTTGACAAAGATTTTACTAGAAATAAAATGCTGGCCATCTTATTATTTTGATTTGTACATGTATATTTCAGGTCATTGCAGTCTCTGAGCAGTTTGCAGCAGTTAAATTCATTTTCATAGTTTTCAATGGGAGAAAAACTTTGTTTTATTGCTACAGAACCCTGAAGTGGCAAATTGATATAAAGGGCACAAATAGTCTCCCAAACTGATGAATAAAGCAATGCCATTCTGTTACATTGTGGCATGTCTTCTTTGTATCTGATAAAGTGGTGATTAACAGTCAATTCTCAACTAAATAACCTACATTTAGGAGGGAACCAGTGAGGGGACCTGGCATGTGATTTTAACTAACTAAATAGAATTTAAGAGCTACATTTGTAAGCACATCTGAAAAAAAAAATGGTTTGTTAGGGGCCATTCAAAAGTTTCAATTTTTGGGGGGGGGAACTTTTTTTGACCCACCCACCCAATTGATCATAAAATATGATTTTCCATTCAATAAAAAAAACCCCAAATACCCAGTTCAGTGACAGCGGAATGCAGCTGCAGTCCGTATATGGTACTTACCAACAACACGGCCCACAGGCATTCCCGCACTTAGGAAAACATGTAAAACTGAAATCCGCCTCCGGCCCCCGGCCCATGTTGTCTCTCATTGCGCGGTCTATGCTCAAGTGCGAGATGACAACATGAGCGAGGGACTGGGGGAGGGCAACCCAACCGTGTCCCAACCATTTTGGCCGGGTTGAAGTCCATTCTAATATACAAATAATGAATGTTTGTGAGTGCAATGGAAGGAATATTTTCATGAGGTGAAAATTGACTGTTCCATTCAACAAGGTGTAGCCGAGTTGAATGGAACAGTCAATTTTTCACCTCATGAAAATGTTCCTTCCATTGCACGAATTAAGGGGCCGTTCACAATTATCAACATTTTCACAAGTGTACAAAGAGTACACTTTTTCAAGACCCCCCCCCCCCCTAAAAGTGTACAAAAAACTGTTGATTATTTTCACACAAGTCTATATATAGACACTTGCATGTGACTTCGTCGAACAGCTTTTCACGGTCTGCATTCCGCCACAATCTCTGGCCCTCACGGCACACGACATCTGCTCGTTTGCGTTGATCATTCACAAACACAAAAGCATTTACAAACTCCATGTATTTGTTGGTCGGATTCTTGTGGACAATACATCCTTGTCGAATGAGGAATTTCAACAATTGATCCAAGTCAACAGCGCGGCTAGAATATTTATTGTCCGCCATTGCTAGTGCCGGTGTTGTTCGACAGGTGTAGCGTGAATATCCGACTCCATGAAATGTGGACTCATTGGTAGTAGTGCGCACACGTGAGTACGATACTATGCTATTTTTAGGATCGTTTGGGGAGAGTGACCTGTCACGTGCGAGGGATTAACCAATAAAAGGGAAAAAGGGGTCCGATTTTCATAGGAGTCGGATTTTCATGTGACACCGGCCGTTAAAAACACGCAGTGGATACGGACTATACATGTACATACAGTACATTTTCATGTACGTGTGTAGGACAATGCCGCACATGCTGTACACAATACGTTCATGGGATGCAATGCGGGGCCTGGCGCGGGGCGCGACCGGCTCGGCAAGTGCTCGATCGGCATCGGTTGCGGCTGTCGGCTGTGGCGACGGGCGAGAAAACAGATCGACATTTTAAAAAAAAAAAAAAAAAACGTTAGGCGGGCATTAACGGGGAGAAAACATATCGACATTTAAAAAAAAAAACACCGTACGGCGGCCATTAACCCCCCCCCCCCCCCCCCCAGCATACGGTTTGTACGCTCGTGAAAATGTTGATAATTGTGAACGGCCCCTAAAAAAACATTCATTATTTGTTTTATATAACATCTAATTGGATCCTTGTCATTTGATATTTTTGTAAACAAAATACAATGTACTTAGGGTTACCTTTAATTTGACTTTCTTTTCAATTTGACTTCGTTTCCATCCAGGCATCCACAACATATTATGAATCCAACAGGTAGTAGGCCTTAAAGTTCCAATCCAAACTATTGTAAACACTTTCAAATTTCAACTCCGAAATTGTTGGAAAAAACAGTCTATAACAGGTTGAACGGTTGAACTGTCCAAGCACTAAAAAACACATACAAATGGAATGAATGTCCACATCATTTGTTGTAGAATGTGACAGGTCCATGAAAATGGAAGTGCTGCACTGAAGAATGTTGCGTTCTGGATGCTGAAGTTTGATTCTTGTAGAATCACTTGTTCTTGAGAGAGTGTCAAGAGCGAGTCCAGTGTTGGGTCGTCCTGATCTTCAGTTTGGCCTAGGGCTACAGGCTCAGTAGGCAGTGCTGGACTACAGCTACTGGTAGGCTTACTTGGACTTGGGGCATTTGTCTGCATCATTTTGCAAGCGATTTTGGCACTGATTTCCTTTTTCTTATCAGCACTAGTTGTTGCATAGTGTTTTAGCGAGGATTCTGATTTGTGACCAGTAACAGACATGATGTCACGGCTTGCGAAACCAGCATGGTCTAGGACGAGCACTGTTGTGGCTCTCAGGCTGTGGTTAGTGTATTTCCTGACACAACCAGCTACCTCAGCAATAGTTTTCATCTTGTTACCTAGAGTGTTGATACCCAACGGGGCATTGCAGTACCATGGTCCCTCAGCTGGAGCTTTGTCTTTAGGTCGTTGCCAAAAGCAGTCCCGTGCAGGGTTCAACAGAGCCTTGTATGTCAGAAATGAAGAGACCGGATATCTGGAAGACCCTGGGATCTCGTACATATACCCACTATAACCTTTGTCATCATTTTCTCTTCTTGATTTGGTGAGCATGTCCCAGTGCACGACGTAGCGAAGATTCTGTGCATCTGTTTCAATCACAAAGTCATCAACTTTCATGTCACGGAGGTTTTCGCGCCCTCAATTAGCAAAATATATCATCACATCCATGAAAACTTTATTCTGCAGACCTGATGGTGTTGCAATGTCAAGGGCATCTGAAGCAAAAATCTTGGTCATATCTTCCCGACTGATTGGATTCTTGTGCTTGACAGGCCCTTTCCCCTCCTTCTTCAATTTTACCATCATTGCTTTGTATGTCTCGTTGCTCCGATGAAACTGGTCAGGCTTGAATATGTCAACATCTTTCACGGCTTTGAAATGACGATGTACTCCGTATTTGATCCCGTGCATCGACTTCTTCGCGTATAGACTACCGTCTGCTTTCCTCAATCCAGCGAAAAATCGGGACAAAAATTTGTCAATTCTTCATCTGACAGTGCTTCGACGGCAGCTAGAGTTGTCCCAGAAAAAACTGCATATGCCTCCAATCGGCTGACAGTGTACTGAATTTGTTTCTTGGTGTTAACAGCTTCAGAACTGTCCACAAGCTCACTTAAATCGTCGTCCATCACCAGCACAAAACCCGCCATGTTTTTTGTTGTTGTTCGTGCACGGCCGTGTCAAAGGTTGCACTCGATACGTATACATGCATAATGCATAACACATATATTTTCGTGTACGCTCAACGTGTAGCAGCAAACTACAGCACCGCAATTGCTAACGAGGCGCGCGTGCAATGGGGCGAAACGAATGGAACCGATATGCACGGTAATGGAACCAATTTGCACGGTAGTATTTTGTCAGTGAAATGGGACAAATGATTTAATGTCATGTGACTAAATTCCACCAATCAAGTGACAAGGATCCAGTTAGGTGTTATATAAACAGTGATAATAAGTATCGGCTTGTTCTAAAAAAATTGAGCTATTAAGGCATGATGCAACTTTTCCTTGGATCCACTGATTTTCTCGTTTTTTACTTCTCATGAATGCCATTATAAATTGAAAAACACTGCACAAAGTCCTGTGTGGTTTGGAATTTTGTTGTTTTTCTAAATTCCTAGTTGCATGCCTGACTATCTCTTTGAAAAATTGCAACATTAAAAAGAGTTCCTACGGTGAACATGGGCTTTCATAATTTCGGACCAATCCAAAAAATTATGCAGGGCTGGCAGTATCTCACGTCACCGGTCATGGCATCCATGATTTGGTCAGTTTTATCTCCAGGCCATAGGAAATTTCATGACTATAGGTCAAACGGCTTTGGAATTATGGCTAATTAATTATTTATATGCACGAATGGTAATTCTGCTCTGTGTACACTATGTATGTGGGGACAATTTTTCGCTGCGGGGCAACCCCTGGTCCGCATTTCATGTTTTTGGTATCAAAAGATGCGCAAGACTCGAGGCTAAAAAGTCAAGATAGCTCGGGTCGGGACATTTTTATTTTTCAAGGGTATCGCAGAAAGAGTTGAGGGGGGGGGGCAGATTCCTACTCAGTCACCACTGTGACTAGTCACTTCGGTGCAGGACTGAGTGTAGTCGCAGCGTGGTAGTCGCTACATGCGCACCATTAGTTGCCAAACACTGACTAGTGGACTATCTGAAAATCGATGGTTGTGACTACCAATACCATTGGGTATTGCCGACTAGGCAAATAGTCGCACTAATGGTACAGCCCTAATACATTATCACAATTATCACTCAGTCAGTGATAATGAATGTGATTCAAAAGCCTGTACAGTGCAATGCACTGTGCATTATTTGAGTGGTCAAAATTCATGAAAAGAAACAGAAATTGAAACAACATTCATGTACTTGGTCCTTTGAACAAAATGAAAGCAGAAAATAGTAACCAATGCGTGTGATTTTCTGATCAGTTGAGGGTGAAATGTACTGTCAGTAACAATTAGACAATATATTAACCTATATGTCCATATAACTTTCATAATATTACCGAGGACCACATACAATGCATGGAGTTTTGTTGAAGAAGTAGTTTGTGTCTAATTTTGATTGTCGTCTGAAATTTCTGGCTTATGTCATATATGTGTGCTTCTCTGTGTATCACTTGCAGTCCAGCAGCTATTGGCTAAAGCCTAGTTCCATCCAGACTGGTCGAGTGCGACGGAAGACAATCCCAACCAAACCAACTGCTGGCCTGAATTTATGGAGTATCATTAAAAACTGCATTGGGAAGGAACTCTCCAAGATCCCTGTGCCGGTGAGTGGGCTACTTTACAAATCATGTTTCATGATATTTCACCTTCTACAAGTACACTCTGCATTGCAGATGTCCTTGCCTTGGAACTGTTTGAAAATAAGAGGACCAAAGATGTGATATTTTCACATTGAAACACCTGAACAAATCCTTTAACTAATGTTCCTTAGCATGTAAACCCAATTTTTGATGGACGTTGTATTTATGCAATCCTCCCTCAAGTTTCATGTTACAAAGTATGCAATCTACAGACCAGAGTGGGGTGTGATGGGAGGGCATGAGGCAACAAGAACACAACAGTGTGGCAGTGGGTACACACGGTGAAGATGAACGGGTGGGCACATCAAAGGAGGTGACAAACACCAAGAGGTTAAGCTAGGAGAGGTTATCTGTAACAAACGACAATGGAGAACAAAATGAAAACAAATTAGTCATTCCCTTCCTGGATGTTGAGGCCTTGTTGTAGAGCCTTTCTACACTTTCCCCTGCTGAAGTGAACTGAGTCCTTGCAATGGCCAAGCAATTCTACACCCTTGAAAATCATATCAGAAATGGAATGGTTAGAAGGTGGAAGTGATGACCAACAGGGGTGTCCTGTCTCGTAGTCTTGACATAGACCATGGACTAGAAACGCATGAGTGTGTTCTTGGTGGACCTGACTTATTGCACTGACAGACCCAGCAAGAGATAAGTTAAGAATGAGTTGGAGAGCAGTACGCTCCCACCAGTACCTGCTCTTTCACCCTGGTATTGGATCATTTACGATACCTATGCAAATAAGAAATAGTCTGATGCTTGCCTGTGCTTTTTCGTTAGGGTTTGTTTTTACATGCCATGCCTGAGGTAAAAAGGCAATCAATTTGTAGTGGCACGAGTTACGAAAACACAATTTGTTTTTCAAAGTTAAAATGTTACAATCGTATCCAGCCAATATGCAGTAACACACTTCTTTTAATATGAGCAAATTGGAAAGGACAGGAATATTTTTAAGAAGATGTGGATGAAATAATTACAATGAACATGAAAACACGTAATGCACGTTTGAAATAACAACACCAAGTACACGATATAAATCCATTACTTGCCAGTTCGGTATCGCATCAGGGTACAGGAAAAACAAGTTTCCTATCCATAGCTTACTATTGGAAATGAGGTTGAAAATAAAGTAAGCCCTGGGGACGAGGTTGTGGACACGCGACCATTCTAGACCAATGAAAATTCAAGCACACAGTATAACAATGTATTTTTTTCTACCTGATGTGCAGGTGAATTTTAATGAACCATTATCCATGATTCAGCGGTTGGGTGAGGACTTGGAATATGCTGGAATGCTAAACACTGCAGCAGAATGTAAGACTACATTAGAGGAAATGTGCTATGTTGCCGGTTTCACCATTGGTGCCTATGCATCGACAGCAGTCCGCAACACCAAACCCTTCAATCCGCTACTAGGGGAGACCTATGAGTTTGACAGGTCAGATGACTTAGGTTGGAGAGCACTTTGTGAACAGGTAAGCCCAAACTCTCACCCGTACTAGCTTGAACTTGGACTCCATGTGTACGCATGTGCATGTAATATGTAATATGCAAACTTTAGCCATGATAGCCTTTGCTTCAAATACCATTGGTAAGCATTTCTCGTATCTTCACTCGTATGAATAATACACAGCAAACTGGGGAACATTCCACAGGAATCTTGACTTATGGCCTGTGGTACATGTATAACACCATTACATGAAATCAAACCTGTGGAACCACATTAACGCACTTGCTGATTCTAAATGTGACACTTTGCTGCTGTTTCCAGCTTTTTGGCGACTTATGGCAGGAGTCGGGCAAAATTTTGCAGCCTACAGGTACCAGGCTGGTTTTACAGGTTGGAGAAAACTGAAATCTTTAAAGTTTGGTCCGTTACCTTTCATGTAGGTTTTCCCAGCTATTTGTAGTGTTGTAGGACTCGAGTCCAGGACTCGGACTGGAGTCGAACTCGAGTCACATTTGGTGACTCGAGTCACGTATTTTCATCAAAAGAAAAAAACAATGGTACGGATTATTTTGTGCGACAAACGTAGCATTCTTTTTTACTCCATAGACAAAACATGGCACCGCGGAAAGTTGTATCCAGGGGCCGTGCATGCACGCCTAGCACCTGCATGACGAGGACCAGGGCCCGGTGTCATGCCAAAAAATGTCTGCTTACGGCGCACACCAGACGCACGCTATAGTCAATGATGCAATATTTTCAACAATGCATTAGCATTGTTGAAAAAAACTAGGCGGACACTACCGGTACTTTGCATTATACAGGATTGTTTTTCACTGATGTTGGGTAGCAGACTACACATTTCTGTGTGTGCACACGTTGCTGATGTACTTTCAGTTGTCACACTTGGGGATCACTATCCAAATATTTGGATATTCGGACTTGAGGCTTGTGACTCGGACTCAAGGCTTGTGACTGGGGACTCAGAATTAAGGCTTGTGACTCGGGAATCGGACTTGGACTTGACCTTGGTGACTCGACTTCAACACTGGCTATTTCAAACATTTATCATTCAAATTTACCGATTCTAATATTCAAATTTGTCCACCAAAATCAATTTAGTGTAATTACTGTTTCGTCCATCATACTTTAAGTTGCCCCAAATTAAAACAATGAGCACATATGTTACATTATAAAGATTAGTTCGATTTCAATATATATATTGTCGACTTGCAAACATGCAACCTTTAAAACAGAGTGATGCAATCAAGAAATGATTGATTTTTAAGGGACTTTGCTGTCATAACAGGGCAGAGAGAGATTGGAAGTATTGTTTGTAATCTATTGTTGTGTAATATTTATAGGTGAGTCATCACCCTCCAGCTGCTGCCATTCATGTGGAAGCTAAAGACTGGATTCTCTGGACAGACATTACAATTGCCAGTAAATTCAGAGGCAAATATCTCCAAGTCTTCCCTCAAGGGATCATTCATATACAATTCCGGCAGACGGGCAGTCACTACACCTATCGGAAAGTCACTTCCACTGTTCACAACATCATTGTTGGCAAACTGTGGGTGGACCAGGTAGGTACATTGATGGCTTTTAGCATGTGGCACATTCACACCTCAGTAACAGAGTCAAATTGTCGCCAACACCACAAAGCAACACTCAGGTGCACGGCACTCACACGCATGTTACAGAACCGGGTTATTTTCATTTTTACAAACTGACACCCGGCCAGTGCGGCACTTCTAGCGCGCACTCCATTCTTTTTCATTTTCACAAACTGACAGTACTCGTCAGTTTTTAACAGTGGCCCCATGGATAGATTGTACCCCCCCCCCCCCCTTTTTGATTCTCTGGAGGCCAAGTGTCAAGAGAAAAAAACATGTCCACATTTTAGCACGGATGTGCAAGTGCCCTTTTCAAAAAAAGTTAAAACCCCACCCCCAAATCAAAATGACCTTGCTACGCCACTGATGGATTAAATTCATGTCAAACCTTTCAAAATGTTTTCTCCATATTGTATTGCTGCATCATGCTTGGGTGTCAGTTCCTAAAAAAAAAAATTGGTGATTACATGGTTTTCACAAAGTGACACCCACTTGCGTGTGAGTGTCAGTTTGTGGTGTCGGTGACGAAATGATAGAGCATCAAGGAATGGGTATGCCATAGGTTTTAGGTATAGCCTAGGTTTCCAGTTCATTCTGACCCATGTTTGAAGTGTTCTCATGAAATCTATTTCTTTTGGAGAAATTTGGGTGTAATATCACATGCATATATTGAGGGGGAAAGAGTTTCTGTGAATTTGTTTGCATAACCGAGTGCTACAGTCTTCATGCAATGATTTTTTTCTCTTTAAGTGCAAATGTGAACTTTATTGGATGGGTTGCAATACATTTAAGTGGAAGTATTTTCAGTCATTTCATTGTTACAATATGAAGTCTTAAGACATTCAGAGTTGTTTCATTTGAAATTGAGCCATGTCAACTATTGCCAATTTAAAGAAATGGATAACAATACTGCTTCGCTCCTACATGTATACTATCAAGCATTTATGTTCAGTGATCAGTGTTCATGCACATGCTGATGTGCATGTGTTTAGGTGCATGCATTCATCCCATGGAAGTGCAGATCCAAACAGTTACCCCCCCCCCCACAGGTGGATGTAGCAGCGAAGCCCCTTTGTATGATAAAGAAAGATAAAAGATATGTGTTCTTATTTAACTCTTACTGTGTCAAATTGTCTTGCACAGAGTGGAGAATGTGAAGTTGTCAACCACACCACCAAAGAGTGTTGCAGAATCAACTATAAGCCATACAGTTACTTTTCTGGAGACACACCACGAAAGGTAACTACTCAACCAAAATCGCTTGCCATGTTGTGGTTTGTTTTTATTCCAATTTGCACCTCATATGGACACCCTTATGTTCATTTTTTTCTGAGTTCTGTATAGGTTTTAAATGTATGACGTCAAAATACCACATGACCATGTGGTTTCCCCATGCTCATCAGCCACCATTGCACTAGGCAAAGCATTTGGTTAGCAACCATGTCGGTTAAGCACTGTCAATATATCAATACTTAGTACTCCATTATTCGATATTATTTTGGTATCGATATCGCCGATAGCAAATTTTGAATCATATCGAAATATCAAAATTGTCGATATTAAGGAATTACATGTATGTATATCAAAAATATCAAAATTTGTCAGATTATTGTGAAAATAAATCTCCCGTTTGTGCTTATTCTTGGCGTTAATCGTTTGCTGTGTAATGAAATAAAACTCTGTGGCAACTTGTGCTTGTGACTCAAGATAATAAGCATCGGAAATGCGCTTTGTGCTCATTTGCTGGAATTGGCGGTCTCCCCAATGTAAAACTTTAAAAAACAAACTAGAAATGTGTTTGTGGACAAACACTGAGTTGTTTCGACCATTTTAGCAATAACTGCCATAAAGGAGCCTCACCCAAGTAGAATGTACATGTACATGAGTATTCTATACATTTCGGTTTAGGTGACGATCCGATGTAAAAAAAAAAAAAAAAATCAAGACGTCATGGTGACGTCACACATTTTTCAAAATTGTCAATTTATCTATCTACAACCTAACAAACCTTTTGCAAAAAGAATTTCGAATTTACCACATTTGGTTGATGGGATATGAGTCAAATGTCAAAAATTGAATAATTTACATAAAATCACACGATGACTTCATCATGACGTCACTGCAATTTTGGTCTATAACATGTCCCAGAATACCTGCAAATACCTGCATATTAAGTTTGAACCCAATCGGACGTCCAGTTCTGTAAGATATAGGGACTTAAACAGGGCAATTTGAGGAGGATGTCATGTGACACGTGATGACATCATGACGACGTCATGATTCAGCATACATCTTCAGATGGTGGTCTAAGTGTGTGGCAGGTTTGAAGTCGATCGGACCGTTTTTTAATGTAATTTTTGCTAATTAGAAGAAAATATTAAAATTTTAAAAATTAATAAAAAATCAGATGATGACGTCTTGATGAAGTCACTTCAGATTTTGAATGCTTTTATCAATACCTACCTCCCCACCAAGTTTCATAACGATCAGACATACCCTTATATGTGAATAATAAAAAAAATCAAGTTTTTTATGACGTCATGATGACGTCACTCATTTTACGAAACTTTGTGCATCTATCTATGACCTTGTGCCCCTCTCACACCAATCCAAGACCAGTGCGAGGTCACTTCAGAAATGCAATTTTTTCAACAGTATCTGTGATCGCCGTTTTTTTGTCTGTTTTTTTTTTTAATGCCAGTACATTTTTATTTCGTGGTACCTGTTTTTACTTCGTGAGTAATCCGTGGCCACCTCGGAAACACCACGGGACCAACCCGTGCTCATGTCCGTTTCCTGGAATTCACGTACTGCACGCCGGCGACATCTCGTGGCCATCCCGATTGCATCCCGTGATGACTTTGGCGCCAGCTCGAGACTACTACACGGTGTCAGTGGTGACTACGGCGCCAGCTGGAGACTACTACGTATAGTCCGTTAGCACTTCGTGGCCAACTCGTGGACACTTCATGGAATCCGGAGCTCACTCTGACGTACCATCGAGTACTGCGTAATGAAAACAGCTGTAAAACAGGCCAACAATCAATCCGGGCCATGCCGTAAAATCCGATGTAACTTCAGCCCACTCTTGAGAACACTACGAGAGTACTTCGAATAAGCCGTATTGAACACGTTTTCAATTCGGCAATAAATTTCCGAAGTGCACACGTTTCAGTTTTTCAACATATCCAAAAACTTTTTGGGTGATCCGTGGAGCATCCATGAGAATCGGCCCATGGAAGGAATCGACACGTCCTTAATTCGTGGTTAGTTCATGGCAACCCGTGAGATCCGATTCCATTTCGTGGTTACTTCGATTTTAAAACTTTTGCGCCCACGGACACCTCGAAGTGGCCACGAAATGGCTTCACGTATTGGTGTGAGAGGGGTCTACCAAACCTTTCAGAAAAAGAATTTTGAATTTACCACATTCAGTTGATGAGATATTAGTAAAAGGTCAACAAATTGAATAATTCATATTAAATCACATGATGACGTCTATAACACGTCCCAGAATACATGCATACCGAATTTGAACGAAATCGGACTTGTGGTTCTGTAGATATAGGGCCTTAAAGTATGTACTTTTAGGATGACACGTGATGACGTCATGATTTGGCATATATCTTCAGATGGTGGTCTAAGGGTGTGCCAGGTTTTAAGTCGATCGGATGTGAAAAAGTCCCAAAGTCCTGTGTAGAACGAAAACACATGTTATCCTATGACAAACTAAAAGTGGAAGGAAAAAAGAAAAAAAAAAGAAATAACAAAAACAAGAGCTGTTTCGGTGTGTAAAAAACACTTTCTGTACAAACTCTCAGTGCTGAGATTCCTTTTAAAACGTTTGAGCAATATGCTCCAGAGAAAGCCGTGGAAAATTGGGACTTATCCTTTATTTTTGCTAATCAAGTGTCATCTTTGTGGCCTTTGGGATAACCAATATATCAAATATTCTCTATATTTAATGTTGTGCCAAGTAAACTATACAGTAGGGCTTATTGTCACTTGAGTAATCCAATGGCATAATGGTCACTACCTGTGCTGTGTGAGGTACATGTAGTCATAATCAGGCCCATCATGCACAGGGTGTTGGCTCCACATAGTGATTTTCTCACAGTGTTTGCCTTCCAGCACAGGTTCAAAAACTTGCGGAGAGAAGGCCGACGTCAAAAAATCCTTTTGAATATGGATGTTTACGAGTTGTCTGGAGAGCTGAGCTCAGTATTACTAATGACTCTAACATACATGTATGTCAGTAGTAGGTCTATTATTAATGACTCTATATGCTGCAGTGGCAAGGGGAACGCACAAAGACTCACTGGCATGAGGCTGCACGGAGTCCCGTGTCTCACCCAAACTCCCCATTCAACTGAGAACATGGTACCTGCCGGGTGATCAATCAAGGCTATCACTGAAAAGTGTCCTAACTAACTGCCTGTACATGTATGTAAATGTATGTATGTATACCAACTGCCAGAATGCCAGACTTTGTACATGTTTTATTCTGGCCAGCACTTTAGATATGAAACATTTGTTTGTAAAACAAAGTCATATCCCAAAGAAACTTAACATAGACAAAGACCTTAATGGTAAGATGTGTATATATGTATATATATGTGTAGAAAAGTGATGCTATCATGATGTGATTATGGGTCGTTTGACATCATCTTGAAGGTGCATTTTTTAATGGCCTATCTACTTGGACATGTAGAGAACTACAATTTGGATGTGTTGAGACTTTTTAGTACATAGACAGGGATGTGTTATATATGAAAACATCATCACATGGTTAATAATGTTGTTTTTTATGCCCCGCGGCGAAGCCGAAGGGGCATACTGTTTCCGCCTTGTCCTTCCGTGGGTGGGTGTGGGTGTGTGTGTGTGTGTCCGGACAAATCTTGTCAGCGCGATAACTTGAGAAATACTTAACATATGAACTTCAAATTTGGTTTGTGTATTGTTCTTGGTAATCCTAAGAACCCTTTTGCATTTGGGGCCGAAAGGTCAAGAGTCAAGGTCACAGTGACTAAAACAAAAGAAATTTTGTCAGCCTTAAGCCTCAAAGCATTGAATTTCAACGTAGGGAACTGGGAAGCCCTTTCCCTCGACTGTCCAACCTGGCGCAGCATGCTTACCAAGGGAGCGCTTGCAGCTGAAACCAACCGCAGTGCAGCAGCGGAGCAGAAGCGGGCCATGCGGAAGGCTAGACCGTCAGCCCTAACCAACACACCACCAGCCCACATGTGTCCCACGTGTGGGAGGACTTGCCGGGCCCGGATTGGCCTCATTAGCCACCTCCGGACCCACCGTTTTCTTCCCTAGACCACGAAGCCATGGTCATCTACGACTACGTAGGACGAGCAGCACTTGATTTGTACAATATTGAATTTGTTTACTTTTTGCATGCATTGTGTATATTCAACCTTATAATTGTTTGTACAATGAATCTTTTAGCCACAGTTAATAATCATCTCAATCCTAGGTGACAGGTGTGGTCACAGATACTATGGGTGCTGCCAAGTACATCATATCTGGGACATGGGACCAAAAGATGGAATATGCAAAGGTTCTGCACACATCGATGGATAAGGGGAGTAGGGCAAAGCCACTGTATCAGACTGCCCCTCCAAAACTGTTATGGCAGAAAAACCCTCTTCCGTAAGTATGAGCCCCTTTACTTGACAGTTCTTTCAATCTAGAAAACCAGTTGGGTCATTCCCATAGAGCTATATTAAATTACTAGAGCGCTAACTCCCCATTCTTGCATGCAGAGACGCTTTGAAGCCGTATTGGGCGCAGACATCTTGAATTCATGTGCGTGCTGGGAGAACATAATGAAATTTAGATGGATTGAAGTTTGAAAGTGTACTCTAAATGCAACGTGAAAGTATAGAATATACGCGAACAACTTAAGCGTGTCATTACGGTTTTTAAGAAAAGGCATGGTTAATTATCTGCAGTGGATATGCACAAGCGTTGCGCTGTTTGTGTAGAGCAAAATGATATGCTCATTTGCTGATTGTGCGTTTCGGTTTTGGGCATATCGGCTTCAATAATGCACCTGAATAAAATACAAATGCAGATATATGCAAATAGCCATACAAAAGCCCTACAAAATTTCTAGTTTTCCGTAGGTTTGTGTACAAACATGGATGCACCCAGCAGGCATCACTTTGTACATAAGTCAGTGCTCTAGTAATTGAATATAGCTCTATGGTCGTTCCTTAAGTCCTCAGTTAAGAATGTACTCTTCCATTACAGAAAACAACTCACCTCTGTTTACCTACAGTTGGATATCAGCACACAAGTGCACAAACCTCACTGAATAAAAAGCACCCAAGCTACACCCTCTGCAGCTACTGCATGTCCCTCATAAGGCCCTGTATAAAAAGGCTTGTCCTACCGGTAGGTTTTTCGTGTGGATTTACGCATACAAACTGTATTCACTGTGCTTGTAACACTGGTGGACTTTGCCAAAATGAAAAAGAAAACAAAAACTTAAGCTGTTCAGGGAAATCACCCTCCAATCAACACTCCAAGCATGATGTTTCTGCCGCTATGACTTGGTCAATTCCCCCAGTTACGATGGGCAGGAAATGCCCCGGGACGAGCATTTCTCCAGTCAGAGTCACTGCATCTCCCTGGCAAATCCTGTATTCATTTGGTAGTCAACAAGAGCAGATGCCAGCAACAAAATCAGAGGTCGACACTCATGTGCTTGCGGGTCGACTTGGCTTGGCGTTCCACTCTCAAAGGCCACTTGGTAGTTTGACCAGCCCCGCCCGGTCACAGAGGCTACTACCACCGGCACCCTCATCATCTAACCATGCTCCTGCTCCTACGGCTACATGGTCACACACACAACCAAGCTTTCTGGGCGAGCCACGAGATTTTCTCAATCGCTCTCAGCCCCACGCATGGTCTTTTCCTGAATGATCCTCATCTTATTTGATAATTTTTTGCATATAACTGGTGGCGGGGTATTTCAACCCACCAATGCAACAAAGCACTGCCACGTGCATTATGCATCGCACTTCCATTTTACCACTAAACAGAACTGGCCAGCAGAGGGCGTAGTTTTTTAATCAGTGAAACGGCCATACGTTAATGATGTGCAAACCCGACCCGAAACCGACTTCGGGTCGGGTCAGGTCGGTTTGTCCATCTTTTCAGGTCGGATCGGGTCAGTTTAGCCATCTTTTGAGAAAAAAAAACGAAATAAACTGAAATAAACCGTTGAGAAATTCAGGTGATGCGATATTATTGACAGTCACTGTGACCGCAGCCCATTGTGTGGTGTGGCCACCGATCGCACTATCAAGTTCCCACGGTATTAATTTCTCCAGTCGGATCGGGACTGACAGTGAAATAGATAAGATTGTAACAGTTTTCATGATACCGTGTGGTGATACCATGCATTTGTTCAATAAGTGGAGTTACTCTCGATCAACCCACTGAGTATGAAAGAAAGAGAGATGATGGTTTTGCAAAAGAAATCATGCCACGTGGGTAAGGGCAGGAACACAAAAAAGTGATCACTTTGTCCAAGCCAGGTATTCGGGGGGTTTTTTTTTCGGGTTATTTCGGGTCAGGTCGGTTTAACCTTGTTTTTTGTCGGGTCGGGTCAGTTTGAGGGAGTTAAGATCGGTTTCAGTTCAGATTCGGTTTATATCTCTAATCTTTCGGGTCGATTTGGCCTTGTCAACCCCGACCCGATGCTCATCATTACCGTGCGTTACCGATGGGATTTCCACTACACTGAACACCCTCAGGGTTATGATATCTCTGGATTTTTCCGGATTTCCGGATTTTGGCCAAACGTCTGCTGGAATCTGCTGGATTCCGGATTTCCAACGTTTTCTGTTTCCGTAATATCGCCCGAAAACTTCTAGCGAAATGTAGGCCCTAATTTACGATAATGGATGGACTGGTGACTAGTCTGATAAGCAATGCGGTCAAGTACCTGATAGACATCAAGGTGGTGTGCGCAGTGGAGTACTTGAGGACCAGACTAAAATAAATTTTAATGCTGTGGCACTGTGCAGTGACGATCGTGAGGGAGCACATTGGTGTCAATTGCAGGGATGATTCATTCAATGACATGTTTGGCAAGACTGTGATATACAGGAATCCAAACATCTTTAGACAAGTTGAATCTTCATCATTGCTCAGCATACATCTACTTCTGTCTCCAGCCAGTACAGTAAGAAGAAATAAAGCCATGTTTCAACGAACTAAGATTCATCTCTTCAGCCCAGGAGTTTTGCAGATTTGTCTTCATCTTTCTCAGTCTACATGTAGCTTGGAATACTGGAAAAAGAGAAGAAAAAATGTGGAAATGCGTTGATTTTTACCTCACTAGCCCTCTCGAGGTTAGTACATGTAGGCCTTGCAGGTCACACAGAAGTTCCACACAACTCCTCCTGTGCCACTCCCATCTATGCCAAGATCCATCTCCAAAGGCATTCCAGTAACCCATCTTACTGCACTGGTGGCCTTTTCAGGACAACCTGCAGTGGTGTTGTCTTTTCCAATTCCTGCTGCCTCATCTTATCTTCATAGGGGTGTGCATTTAAGAGTAGTACAGGAACTGGGTACCCTATTGAAAAACACACGGGTACTCGGGTACCCGTGAAAGAAACCCTAGCCAAAAGTTCACATCTGTTCAAATCTATCAGATTGTTCATAAATGTCCGCATGATGATACTACCACATCGGTGCGGCAATATGTCTAGATAGGGTGTATACAGTGAGTTCTGTAGCTATGTGGTGAAAACTGCAACTTTTTCATCATAAAACGTGAAATTGGTTTTGGTTTTCCATGTACCGATATCCTAGTTTTCATTTTGAAACTTTCCAACTGACATTTAAAGATATAGTCCATCATTTGTAATTTGTGCATTTTGTTCGTTTGAAGCAACAAAAGTGTTCAAAATCTAATGAAGGATACTGAACAACTAACCTGATGAAGTTTCAGCTCAGCTTCAGCTGTATATTCCGAGAAAAACAGCATTCTAGGATCTCAATTTCAAATCAAAAGTTGCTGAATCATGTTTTGAATTGGGCCTGAATTCAGCGTCCGAGACGCGTTCTCACTGAGCCGATTGCAGCTATACGCTATGTCACGCACTGATCCGATGAATTATAGCAACCGCGCGCGCGTGTGCGTCATGCCAATGCTTGTGCGCGCTTCGCCGAATAACAAAACGTACTACTAATTTAAATTTTCCTACGGTGCGTCTTAAGACGCACCGTTGGAAAGGCCTTCTTTCGTTGATTACTTCAAAATGACAGCATGCCAGAAAGAATAATTTCACAGGGAGTTAAGTCCCAATGGTCATCTACGACTACGTAGGACGAGCAGCACTTGATTTGTACAATATTGAATTTGTTTACTTTTTGCATGCATTGTGTATATTCAACCTTATTATTGTTTGTACAATGAATCTTTTAGCCACAGTTAATAATCATCTCAATCCTAGGAAAATTGTTAAACCTAAAACAAAAAAAACAAAAACAAAATAGGATGAGCCTTGGTGTTGAGGGACATGCAGTAGGCCCAGAGGGTGTAGCTTGGGTGCTTTTTATTCAGCGAGGTTTGTGCAGTTGTGCATTGATATGCAAATGCAGGTAAACAGAGGTGAGTGTTTTCTTGTTAGACCGGAAACTCCCTTTGGATTTTAGGAATTCCATCTCATACAACTGCTAGTGTGTTACAAATTTATGATGAAAATATTCGCACCTTATGCTTTGTATTTACCTGTGCATGGAGCATAAACAAGGTCAAGGTTGCATCTGTCAAAAGTGAGCTATGCAGTCACCCACATTTCAAAATATTGCTTTAATAGTTAGTCTGTGATGCCATGGTCTATGCTTTATTTGTTACAGACCCAATGCAGAGAACATGTACAACATGACTAGTTTCTGTATCACTATGAATGAACCAGAGGAAGGCATAGCACCCACTGACACTCGTAATCGTCCAGATCAGCGTCTGATGGAGGAGGGTCTGTGGGATGATGCTAATAAGGAGAAACTACGACTGGAGGAGAAACAAAGAGCAACAAGGAGGAAAAGAGAGGCAGAGGCAACAGCTGCTGCCGAAGCAGGCAAGTACAAGTAGTGAATAGGCTGAAGATGCAATGAGGTCACTGTGTGCATTCATATTGTAGTCAGGTGTTGACAATGACCCCTTCTCCCCATCTTGCTCCTGTAAGAAACCCTGCATGACATTATTTCATCTCAGGCCTACAAGAGTAGGGAGATGCCTGTAATGCTGACAAGTTGTGACATGTCAATAGATAAAACACCAACTGGTGTTCCAGTCCTTTGGTTTTTCCCCAAGGAGTAGGGATAAATGAATTTACAAAAATAGACAGTGCGGCCTGTTCTTGCATCTGCTCCAGCTCTATCCCTGGCCCATTTTATCCTCTGTCCCACCCAGCCTACTGCCTGGTACCGAGCTTGCAACTTGTCTGCCTGTACTCCAATTGGGGGTACTGTCGGGGGGGGGGGGGGGGGGGGGGGGGGGGGGAATACAACAAAACAATGGCTGCCTCTGACATGTAGCGGCAGGGCAGGCCCACTCCCTGACCCCTGCCTGGCAACATGGTACTTCTTAAAGGAGATGAACCAATAGCTTCAACTTCCACTCCTGGTTTCCGAAGTCTCAGACATGGCAAACCAACTCTCTACTGTAGACCAGCCATTTCCCCCCGTTTCTCTGATCTCCCAGCTCTCATCGTTGTCAAGAAAGATCCAGGAAGATCTGTTTAGAACTGTTGTCTGTCTAACATGGCCAATTATGGAAGCTTTTCAGACTAAAATGTCTCTTCGATTGTGCTGCCATGTGCATCTCCTTTGGGCATGGTTTTATACCCCTAACTTTCCCTTCCTCTGTCCTGAATTCTTGGGCTGGTTTGACACCAACCAATTCCAGCACCTTCAAGCCCCTCGTTGCAGAGTTGTAAGGAGTCACACTGAATTTTGTGACTCGAGTGACGTCGAGTCATTTTAAAGAAGTGACTTCAGTCAAGTCAAGTCATTAGTTCAAGAAGGTAGAGTCAAGTCAGGTCGAGTCACAGTGTGTGGTCAAGTTGAGTCAAGTTGAGGCCATGAAGCACGTTGGGACTCTTTGCAGCCGTTCCTGTGTCTGTGCAAGTAGTGGCACACAATGATCTCCACAATAACTCGCTGTAAACATAAAAAGGATCACTTTTGCACACATCCTGTTGCAAGTATAAAGCCTTGAAATAAGACTAGTAAATTGTCATCGCACGGATAGAGGGCTTCATGATGCAGGGCAAAGTTCATGTATGCATTGCATCTAGCCCAGGTTGGACGACGTCTTCATTGCATTGCATTTCGTTGCGTGTACACAACGGAGTCCAACCTGGGCTACATTGCATCCTGCATTTCGCTGCATGCTGCTATTGTTTTTTAGCTCCACTCACACCCCTGGTACCCACTAGTAGAATCAGCCAACACTTCTGAAGAGGGGGGGGGGGGGGATGTGAAAACAGAAATTGTGATCATTAGAAACTGAGCAGTTGAAGCTCTTGTCTTAATTCCAGTCACTTGTGCTTCGTTTCAAGTAGTTGCCCCCAATGTGTGTGCTAGAATCTCTGTCTGTGTAAGTCTGTAACTAGCAAGAAACATAAAATCACAAAGTCAATAGTAACTTTATGTAATGTAAAGTCTGTGCAGTGCCAGTCTTTATGTTGACACTTTTGCTCAAAATCTGATGATTTTTATTCACTGCTGCAAATGTGCAAAGCCAAAATTGCTGCCCCCTTTGGATGAAAATAAACAGGGTTTTTCAACATTTTCTCCATATATGTTATGCATTGTGAGATTAGCTGTGATGCAGACCTTTGAAATATGAAACACGAAAGTGCACGTTAACAAGAGTTATTTGTATAACTTAGTTCTGTGTTGGACTCGGATTTGTTTGAGTTTGCTTGATGATCACAGTGTTTCCATTACTCTCATCACATTCCTTCACTAATGTCACAGCATTTTGAACTTTGCAGGCAAACCTTGTGATAGCTACAAGCCAGTGTGGTTTGACAGAAAGATGGACCCACTGACCAAGACTATCACATACATCTACAACAGCAGATACTGGGATTGTAAAGAGAAGGGAGAATGGCCCGAGTGCCAGGACATCTTTTAGAACAATGCTATACACTCAGTGCTTCCTGTCCTCAAGACAAGGTTTGTGAAGGTGATCATGGATCTGATGGCAGGTTCATTAGACAGCCAGTGTGTCAATGCTGTAAAGCAGACACCATGTCTTACCAACCCTGCAGGTGAAACATGAACCTATACCTGCTATCCTGTCTACCATAAATGATTCAGTTTACATATTTGCATTGCAAGAGTTGAAAGTTTCAGAATGCTTGTGGAGCCATTATGAGATTATAAAAAAAAATTGGAGATAATTTTTCCCAATTTTTAAGAATATTTAAATTACTAGTATATATTGCATTTACAAAGATTGTTCCATTGTGTTTTATGCTTTGCTTATCTTAAAGCTAGTTTCTGGAGAAAAACTTAAGTGTGGAAGTTGTGTAGGTTGATTTTTTTTTGTACATACATATAGTTGTGAAAAAGCAAAATAAATTGGAGAATGCCCACTATAATCCAGAACGCCTATTTTAATACCGGTGCAGCATGAATTTAGGTTTTATGAAATACGGACTCATTGGTGGTAGTGCGCATACTTATGCATAGATAATTAGAAGAGGGACCGGTCACATGAGAGGGTTTAACCAATAAAAGGAAAAAAGAGTCCGATTTTCATACGAGTCCGATTTTCATATGACACCGGTATATGGTATAGTGTTGCAGTTTGAGAGTGTTCAGAACATTTCACCTCAGAAATTTGACAACAGTCATTGATCCAATGCTTCACTGAAGGATCTGTGTTTCATGGCTTTGTAGACATTTCTTTGGAAATTGATATTCAAAGCTTGTTTTGATAGTTCAATTCTTGAAGCTAATCATGGAAAACCTAATTACAAATGTAATTTTCAACTTACAATGTCTGAAATAAAATGGTTGAACTTGAACTTGACATGGTAGAATAAACAGTGTTTATTACTCTAGAGTCAGAACTTATAATTCTGTATTCACACATGGCACGCTGCTTAAGAAAAGAATTAAAGTAATGCATGTATGAATTTAAGATGTGTATTAAAATATAATGAATGAACAAGCAAATAAATAAGACACTAAAAATATTTATAAAAAAGGTATTTAAGCAATGAAGTGCGGATTCAATCTTCCCAAACTGAGATCATAACTTTACAAATAAACGGTGAGAGAGTCAAGGTGTAATAAAATGACCATAGATTGTGGCAGTTATGGATCAATGTCTTCACAGCCAAAGGTTGTGGTTCTTATATATTATTTTTCAAGTATGTTACAGTAAATGTGTGCATGACTTGATTAGTTCCTGTGCTGCTTAGCCTCCTCGTATGTCAAATCAGTGTCCAAGTGAAAAGCATATCCAAATAACTTGATAACATCATCTTTGTTTCGGCAACCTTTGGCAAGTTGAGACTAGAACCATAGACAACCATATACATGTACATGTAGTTCAACATAAATACCGGTAGTTTGACTAACTTGACTAGAATTCACACTGGTCCACCATACAGCTGTGTGGTTGGGAATGGTACTTTCTAAAGGTTACTTAACACTTTAATTGGAATGAAACTACATGCACACAGACATGTTCTTGTCTGCGGGCGAAATCTTTGAAAATTAACTTTCAGGGTTTGTTTCCCTAATATAATGATCCCAGTATGTGCTAAAAATTGTTTTGATATGTGCATTACTTTTTGTTAAAATTTGAAAAATAGGCCTATTTACGTGCATTGCAATATCTGTCAATGTTTTCAAGCCTCACAAATACTAATATGGTTCCTATCCATTATGGTGTGCAGTAACAATTTGGAGAAAAGCCTCCTTCACGGGTTATTAATTGGTCAATATCACCCTTTTTGACAGCTTCCATTGGTCGATACCGAGACCCACGCCAAGTCACACTGAGTGACGCTGAGTGACACTAATGAATATGCTGTCATTATGTTGCCGGGCAGAAATCAGTCAACCATAGCGCATTGCTGAACAGTGCACTTGGGTTGGGTGGAACAGAAATCCTTGTTGAAATTTTCCTTGGAGATAGTTCAAGGTGTAACACTAGCGTTTGCAACAACTGATTAAGCTAAAATTTGGAAATTCTTAGATGATGTAAGTGTTTAACTACTCATGAAATAACAACATGAAGAAATTTCTAGAAATTAAAATAAATACATAGATTTGGGAAAGGTTTCGAACGAAATATCTTCCAGACTTGAAGGTCAGCTTTACCAGTAACCAGCGATGACGTTTCGGCATCGATGACGGTGATTTTTTCACTGACATGAAGTTTAGAGTTTCTTCTTCCGTTATAATCTAACATTTCAATCATACTGACCATATTGTCTTTGTGGTGCATGAATTTCACTACTCTGTTATAGCGTCTAAGTACGTAATTGGATTAGCTTTGCTTAACAATGGCAGTCGCTTTGCCTTCGCAACCATATGGCTACATAGTTGGACTTGTCTAGACCACCAATCAGGACCAGCCAACTGAGGTCAGTGACATCACTGGTTGCCAATAGCCAAGCACATTATGCAGGTGTAAGTTATATCATGAATCAGCCACTAGTGGACCATTGGTCCTTGATCAAACTCAGATGCAAATCCGAGAATAACGTAGCAGCAAGTATATTTGAATAAAATATTGTTTAAAGTCATCCTTACTTAAATATTCAAATGGAGGGGAGAAGTTATTCTGATTATTTAAGCACCGAATAGAAAAAGAGGGGAAAAAATAACAAAAATATGCAAGCCATACTAATTTGCATTTCAGACAAATTAATGGAGCAGTCCATAGAAAGAGGCCTCATGTTGTAGTTATTGAAAGACATTACAATTTGTATCAAAGAATAAAATTGTTAGACAATTAAACTTGTCATTCAAGACAATATCTCAATTATGATTTGATGATCACGTAATTAATATATGGTGTGAAAAACCTGTAATATAACATAATAAAGAAAAGTCTCAGTCCCACATTTTGTGTTTTCAAGATTATGATTGGCAATGGCCTGACATCGTAGTCTGCTGTAAAATCCATGGCGTTTTGTATTAAGGGTGCAAATGACACTGGTGCCATTTGCACCCCTCCCCCGAGGGGGGAATTAAAATGAAAACCATGCTTATAAATCACAACAGACAATTATTGTTTGTTCTACTATCACACCATGGTATTATTTATAATGATTGTTTTTTGAGGTAACAATGATAATAAAAAAGTCACTTTTGTCCAGACAGGATTTGTCCTTTTTTGACACCATATGCATATTCAATAGTCCTGTGCTTCAGTCTTTGAATCGGTATGTGTCTGCATTGATACGCTTGTATCCCCAATGACATCAAAAGCCCCAGGTAACATCACCTGTCTGGTGTACAGGGTCCTTTTCCAGCTGAAATCAAAACTGGGAGCAGGGTTCCATGCTATAACTAGCAAACAGCTTGAGCACTGCCCCACATCATCTTCTTGGGTTTAATGTTTAATGTGCAAATCCGACCTGAAACTGAAACCGACCCAACCTGAAACCGACTTAGAGTCAGGTCTGGTTGGTTTGTCCATTCCAGGTCACATTCAGTTTTGCGTTTGCCATTTTCAGGTCGGTTAAGCCATTTCGGAAAAACCCAAAACCAAAATATACCGAAACAGAATGGAAATTCACAATTGGTGCACCATTTAGTGCAGAGTCACTGCGCGCGGTGCGACTAACAATGGTTTGTGGTCCGTCTTGATCGGTCTATAGTATGTAGGCCCACCAGTTGGTCACGCGAGTATCAGACGGCATGATTCAGTTACTGAAAGCCGACATTTTATTTTACGCGAAAAGGGTCCGTTCAGGCGCAAAATGTGGATCACATTTGCGGAAGCCACATATTCAAGGTTTTTTTTTCAGGTCGGTTTTCTTTGAATTTTTGTGGGGTCAGAATTTTTGTTTCGGTAGACCAGTTCGGTTTCTGTTCGGATTCGGTTTACAAAATAAATGTCTTGGGTCACTGGCACGATATAAAAAATTATCAAAACAACTGTTGACTGCTGTGATGTGGAACATATGTCATATTTAACCCGTTGGGTAGGCAAATATTTCATTGGGCATTGCCTATCTAAGTTGTGAATAGTTTTTATGTTAGGACAGAGAAGAAAAAAAAGATTCGCAAAATTGACCCTTTTCCAGTGCAACAATTTGTTTCAGTTAAAAAAATTGCATCCCTTTTGGGTTTGATTATGGTTAGGGTTAGGGTTAGGGTTTATTTGTTCATATCATAGCACAAACAACATAATAAACAGGAAACTATACTAGAGGTTGGCATTTGTTGAGTTACAAACGCAGAGTGGTCGGGCGGACAGCCTTTTCATTATACACTGCCCATTTAAGTTAGTAATATATATGTCTATGTAGAACGAAGGATCACGAAATTAAATCCCTTCCAGTACAATAAATTATTTTGTTACAAAAATAATCTTTAACGGTGTGATAAATTTTAGGAAACATTGAAGGCGTGCAAAAGTGTGATATCTGGTTTGGTGACGTCATCAGTGAAAAACGGTATACTGATGAAGTTTGGAGAGGCTAAATTTTCAATGTTAAGTTGAAATAACGTATGAAAATATGGGAAATATAATTTGTATTAATAACAACTAACTTCCGGTTTGATCACGTATTAATTACACCTAACTTACGGTTTGATGACCTCACAGCATTAGAGATTTAAAGGTGAACATTGTAATGGATATCGTTATTTGGACTACGAAAATACGACAGGGATCAAATGATAGAATTTAAAAGTAACTTCCGGTCTGATGACGTCATGAATTTGCAACCTTGCCAATTTGCCTGTGGTTTATCAGAGAATATCAAGGGGCAATTTTGTAAAATTTGAAAGGATGGTTTTTAAATTAAAGAAAGCAAACACTTTTTTATGTGCCGCTAGGGGGCGCCCTTTTGAAAGATTACGTCATCACCAGTGTTGGAGCAAAGGCTTTGACCCTCAAGGTCAAGGCCAAGGCCAAGGCTTTGACCCTCAAGCCTCGAGGCCAAGGCCAAGGCTTAACCCTCAAGGCCAAGGCCAAGGCCAAGGCCAAGGCCCTGTTTTATGAAATGACCACTGATATAGAACTAATTACATGTATAGTCAAATGAGTGACACATCATCACGCAAGGGCGGATCCAGAACACAATTTGGGGGGAGGGAGGGGCAAAGAAATTTTGGTCCCCCCAAAAAAAGTGGGTCAAAAAATTACGGCTTGGGCTTCGGGGCCCGCTTAAGGGCCCCGAAAAAAAAAATTTGGATTCGAGATGCTCTGTGGTGCGATTTGAGGCAATTTCTGACCATTTTAACCGATGTTTTTTTAGGAAAAGATGGTGGTGTACTCATTGCCTGCCTTTATTACGACGTCACATTAAAAAAAATGGTTTCGTTTTTTTTTTAGGGGGGGGGGCGCATGGCCCCTTTTGGCCCCCCTGGATCCACCCTTATCATCACGAATTGCTCGTTACGAAGAACAACATTTCTTTAATTGCAATCAACATGCTCGCATAGGCCTACACCATTTTATGACTGCACTGTATCTATTAAAGTATAAGTTCAGGTCTTCAATATGGTTTAACTAAACAAAATAATGATTTACTTCTATATTGACACACAATTCTCCCAAGTGTAACAAAAGGGGGATCCAAGAAACTGATTTGGGAAATGTTTATTTGCTGGCCCAACATGGTCAGAAATATCAGCATTATCTAAAACAGATACATGCAAATCTTTAGCACTTATCAGGGAGACATATACAACCAATCAGATCTATTCCATAGTTATATGCAATTAAAGTGATCATCTCATTAGCCCCACAAGTGTACAGAATATTTTTGCAGCAAATCTACTACAATGGTAACAAAATGTGAAAGTGTGCCCAACACACAAATCTATAGGGTGCTTCCCTCCTCCATGGTAATACAATTAAAATGGTAGCAGCAAAATTTCGAACAGATTTATCTGGAAAATGCAAAATCTATGGGCCTTGAAGAGCCTTGACTCAAAATTGCAAGGCCCTGAACTCTCAAGGCAAAGGCCAAGGCCAAGGCTTTTGCCCTCAAGCCTCGAGGCCAAGGCCAAGGCCCTAAAATCCAGCCTTAAGGCAGCCTTAAGGCCAAGGCCCAGCATCAAGGCACTACATCACTGGTCATCACACTGTTTTTTTTTGTGACAAGCATTCCTCACTAAACTTTTTCATAAT